GATGCGCTTTATTATCTGTGTATTGAGAAAAATCTCTCCCTCGCTTCATTCCTGAAATTCTACTCGCTACGTGGCCATGACTGGACTGCTGAGCTTCTGACTAGAGTCAAGACCGTGTCTCTTTGGTAACAGAAGGTCAGGCCAGTACAGGCACTTTTGTGAGCTGCAGCTCCAAATTGACAGTTAAGCAAAATATTCCGTTTTCTTTGCCAGCTGGATGAAGCCCTTGTTTTCAGCTCATTTGCTATTCAGTGGACCATGGATTTTTCTAGGAACATCAGCAGATGCTGATCACGAGGGGCTGCATGATAGAAAGTGGGAGAATGCTTGGGGACTAAAGAACATTCTTCTTCTCCCCCTCCCTGGGGAATGTTGCTCCCTGCTACAGCAGATATGCTCCTTTTTAGTCTGTGACCCATGGAAAAAGTACAATTTTTAACTGCCGTTCCCACAGGAACCATGCAAGAATGTCGGGTTGGTTTTTTCCCCCCAAGTTGTGAGATGAAGGGATAAATATGTAAGTGCTTTTTAAAATAAGAGCTATATGAGGATTTGCTAATTCTTTTCACATGGGCCACCAAGGAGCCAATATGTGGTAAATCACATTCAGCTGTGTGCACTCCCCCTCCCCTGCCTGCGGCCTGGATTTGGACTGGTGCCCTAGGGATGAAACGCTGATGCTCATGCCTTGAGTCAGATGTTAGGTCCTTCTCCTTTCCCTGTCTTGCCCACCTCCACGTAGAACTCCCAGGTCACAACAGGGGAAGCTAATCGGAGCAGTTTGTTGCAATGCTGAATAATAGGCACTTAATCCGTGAATAAATAAGAGGTTTCATAAGAGGCGAGATTCGTTTCGGATAGTCCGACAGCTGCAGTTGTAGCACTAATAGTTGTTCTCTGTGTAGCCCCTCTTAGCATGAGTATAGGTATGTTGTAATAGATTGTTCTTGCGTTGTTTTGGGGACTTGAATGAAGCGGTGCCAGTGTGCTTCCCAGCCTGCTGCACCAGGGCTACCTTTCCTCTTAAATGTGGCAAATGTAGCAGAGAGAACCATTTAGAAATAGCGCTGAAAGTAACGTTTAATGTTAACAATAAAGAGGAGGAGAGAAATGCTAAGAATAATCCATGGAAGTGAGAAAGTATTTATCTTTGAGCTAAAACTTGCCCTTGGGAATGTAGCCATATGTTGCGTGTTATACAGCAGCCCCGCTTTAAACTAAACATTTCAGCAGTTAAGATTGAAAAGAGCACAGAAAGACCGAGGCGATTTAACAAGGCAAGTGTATTGTGTTGCGCAAATGATCCAATCCTTTATGTTCTCTGTAGTCTCTAGTTGACCACTGTAGGTTTCATGCAACATTCATTCCCTTCTGACAGCTGTTTAGAGCCTGCTTTTTCATGTGACATTTATTGCATGCAGACATCTCGGGATATGCATCCCCGACTGTTTGCTTAGAAAATCCCAGCTCCCCACAAATGATATCCAGGTCCTGGTCACTGCTGCTAACAGCATGAAGACAAAGCAAAGTCAGTTCTGTACCCTGCCTTCCCTTCCTATTCCCCATTACACCATATGGATTCCCTCAAAGTGTAATGTGTTCCATTGCTTTTAGACACTGTGCAGAAACCAAAGCCAGGAATGTTTTTCTGTTCAAATATAGTCAGGATGACAACTCACGCCTGTAGTCCAAACCAAATATCTGCACTCGAGAACCTGAGACCTCTAAAATTCATCAGAACTCCAAAGTCACAGCAGCAGTTCTCTGCACTTGTGTAAAAGCAATCCTTGCAGGGGCTCAGGCTGCCTGATAAAGCACAGAGAGTATTTTCAGCTGTTGGAAAAGACAGAGATAAAACTTAGTCATAGTTCAGACTAACTTCTTGCCCTTGTTACAGGGCAACACTGGCTCCCAGAAGGGAGTCTGGGGAGTTGTCTGAAGCATCTGAAAGAGGCTTAAATTCTGACAAGTGCTGTAGATTTGAGGCCACTGATGGCTGCATGTGAGAGTCCTTTAAGTACAAGTCTCTCTTGGGAAAGCCATGATACTCTTAACCCAGGGCAGAGAACACGGATGAAATGTCAACAGATGTGCACTCTGGTCCTGATAATCCTTAAAATATCTACAGAAGAGAGCTGTGCTTGAAATTTAACAATGACAGTATTAATGAACTAAGTATAAACCTGAAATTTCACTTTTTACCAGCAGTGACACTGAGGATTCTGGCCAGAGCTTGTGCACCAAAGAATCCAGATGCACAGTGACTTTATCAGAGGCATTGTTAGTGTGCACAGCATTAAGTTCATGTGTCTCCCTTAGCTCCGCAAGTTGCATCTGTAAGTTCTGAATACCTCAGCATAACAGCTTTCCTCATCTGACTCTCATTGCTATAATAACTGAGGTTTGTCTTGGCCTTACTGCTGAGCTGGTTTCTGAGCAAATACTTGGCTTAAATTTTAAAAGTTTTGAAAGCATTCTGCAGCCAGTGGTTTGGTAAAGTTGGATGCACAGGCACTGAATTTTTAGGTGGATGGGCACAGTGCATTCCTACCATATTTTCTCCCTTCTGATCCATCAAGGTATAACCTGCTTGCTACCTTGACAAGGAAGCAGGATCCTAAATGTCTCAGAGGTCACAAATCATCTCTGCAGCTAAAGATTCCCATTCACCCACCACATGCGGTGCAAGAAGATAAATGGCTAATATACAGTACGGTCTCTTTCCCCATTCAGAATACTTCAGTAACTCATGGAAAAAGCCTTGGCTGTGCTAACCTTTAGTAGCTGCGTGAAGAAGTATTCGGAAACAATGAGGTCCTCAAGAATGCGCTTTCTCTAAAGTGCTAGATACTAACTTTGGGCAAGGGGGGGGGTCTGAGCTGAGATATATTTTACAAAAACTTTTACTTTCTTTATGTTGGGATGAAGGAAATTCTTAGTTCCCTCAGGCTATGTGGTTGAGTTCTCAGTCTGTGCTTTAAAACTCAGGTTCATGTAGTCATCTTCAGAAACAGTAAGGTGCTAACTGAGTACTTGGAAGATTTCACATTCCTGCTCTGCCAGATTCCGTGCTTGACCTCAGGCAAATCTTTTCTCCTCCACAGTACTGTGGGCCTTAAGCTGTAAAGTGCAGATAATAGCACTGCCTTACCTTCAAGACTGATGTGAGATTAAATGCTCTGGGAGATTGTGAGATGCTCAGACACTCTGGCGAGAGGAGAGGGCATATGTAATAGTGCATAAGTTAAAATATTTTCAAACGCTGCTGACTTTTACTAGCTGTATAAAAGGTGGATGCATTTAATGCTGTTAGGCAGTTCCATGACTGAAACTCAATGTTCTTCCAGCACTGTGTTTGCTGGCAGTATTTTTCTTTCAAGCCGGTACTGCTTTACTGGAGAAGATCTCTTGGCTGAAGTTTTTGAGCCCCATTCCAAGGCAGGTTTTTACTTCAAGACTCCCTTCGCAGTCAGTCTTTCTGCAGATGTGTTCTTGTCTACAGACTCTGACAGAAACTTGTTCAGGGGACTTGAGACACTGGTAAGTTTAGGAGTGTGTTGTTACAAGTTTCTCACTTCATGATGTGGTCTACAGCTCAGACCACAAACGGAGGTGCATTTGCACCACTCTTTGGAGCTCTGAAAAAAGCTCTTTTTCAGAGTGCTCACGCACAGGCATGTTTCATTCTGCCGGCTGTGCTACTGGGGAAGAGGTGTAACTATCCCTAGAAAGTTGCAGCTCACAGCTGAGATGAGCCAATATCTCAGACTGCTGCAGTTGACTGCTTTGGTCCACAGGAGTTAGAGCCCAGTACCGTTGCTTTCTGCTCTTTCTCTTCCTCCTAGTTCCAGCTTTCCTTTGTAATTCTGTCCATAACTTCCTTCCATGTTACTCGTTATTCTATCCTTCTCCTGGTATCTGAACAACTGCTGCACTTTGTCTACTCTCTGCAGAAAGTATGTTTTTTCTCGGGGGGGGGGGGGGAGCTTGGTGAAAATTGAAAAACAAAATTTTCATGAAATTGTACATGAACTCATTGGTCATCCTTATTCTGAGTTGTTTAAAAGCTCCAGGCCAGGTTTAGTCTGAAAATACATGAAACATAAAATGTTGCAAGCTTGATTATGAACTAGGGAAAAAAATTCGAATGAAACCATTTTTCATTATTAAAAGTGCAAGAAGTTTCTGAAACCTTTCAGATGCTTCGGATATCCCCTAGGAATGTTTTATACTAGCTGGCAACAGAACTACCGCCTCCCTGCCATTTGCTTGGGAAACTAGGAGATTGCACAGTTCCTTTTCCTCTCTCTGGTCAGAACTGTTTAGCCAAGGACACCCCACCTCAGGAGCACTGAGTATCTAGCACTTAGTGACCAGGCAGAAAAGTGCAGCTATTTCTGAAAACCTGAGAGTTTCTGAGTAAGCTTTTTCAAAAAGTCCTGAACTGACTTCTTGTCTGTAGCCTGGAGATGCCTTAAAGAACCTAACAGCTTCGGACAAACTGACCACTTCTCCAGGTCAGTCTTTCTGATGTGCTCAAGCTAAGGTGCCCCAAATCAGTAAGATTCTGAAAATACTTGTCTTTCTCAGCATGATAACCCTTGACTGGGTAGCTCCCAAGTACACAAGAAATTTGCAGTTCAGTTGCCAAGTTTCATGGAAGAGGGAGTTGATGTTTACTTTTCTCTGAGTTTGTAAACTCCCTGACCAGAATTTCCTAAGCAGAGAAGCCCTGCCTGCCCTCTCACAGCATCTCATTTTTCATTCTGCTCCTGAAGACAGCCCTTGACAAATGACAGCTCTTCTAGTGTTAAGCATCCCTAATGAAACATTCCAAGGGCATGATGCTGGCTTCTGGATTCCTTTTTTCTGCCCCCTCCCCCAATTTTTTCATTACATAAAGCTGACAACTGCAGATTGGTCCTCTGTTGATTATACAGTTAAAAGAGTTCATGTCCATCCCAGCTTGTTTCACTGCTGCTTTTCCTCCGCCAGCCCAACTTTCAGCTGCAGTAATATGATACCACTTGGCAGAGGCTAAGAGAATCTTTGGCACATTGGAAACAGGCTTAATGTAAAGTCTACTTTTTTTTTTTATTTTTTTTTTTAGAGCTTTTTGAAACTCTAGTGGTTCTGCACAACTTTGGCAGTGACTGCAGGGCTGCTCAGAAATACTCCAAATGCAACTGTGAGCAAAAGGATTACCAATGCATTCTGTGAAGAGAATGTCTTAATATCTGTCACATCTCCCTCTAAAAAGTATTAAAGAACGACATGGATCAAGTAGAGCAACTTTCTGCAGACAGAAGGAAGAGCTTCCTCTCAGTTGACAAGAAAAAGAGCAATAGCTGTAGAACCATTGTGGGATTTTTATGCATATTCCCTGTGGTGGCTTTGCTGGCTATTGTGGGAGATCCAGCTGGAGCTGCAGTTCAGAAAAGTCAGGTAGGAGAAAGGATCTAATTCTCAAATGCTTGAAAGGGGAGTGGGGATATCAAATATATGTACATGTGTATTCTTTTTAGAAGACGGATACATTCAGGTAGCAATCTAAACAATATATAAATAACTGTTAAAGCAACAAGTTCTGTTTATGGCTGTTTGAGTCCCTTTTTGCAAAGGATCCTAGAAGGTAATTATGCATCCAAGTAGAATCAGATTATTAGAGATGTGTATGCAGCTTGCAGACAACCAAACAGTGAATGCACAAAAGGTTTGGGTTGTTTTCCCTCGGAGCTTTGGCTATTCTTCTTGAGCACCTCTGCTTTCCCAGCCTGGTATGATGTGGCATGCACATATTCTGACTTCCACAGCAGCTGAACTTTCCTAGAAACTCCAGAGGCAGAGCTCGTAGTGTAGGATCTAAACTGGGAGTTAATGCGGGACCTACAGAAACTATGAGCTGGTATTAACTCTCTTTCAGGGTCCATCCATTAGCAAGATATGCTGGGACAGATCAATATTCAGGGGGAACTCTTGGAAGGCTCTGGGAGTCTCAGAAGCTGATCTCAATTTTTGCTTTTAGATTAATTTTAGCTTTTAATTTTATAAAAAACCAATCTTCTCTAAGCGCTCACATCCTTTCCTGCTCTTTGTGTTTATGAAGATCCTGGCAATAACATCCCTTGTTTGCATCACATGCTCAGGGCTCTTATTAATTGGTACTAAGTCACAGAGTTCTGTTACTGTTTAGTTTATGAGAGGGGAACTGCATGACTAGGAGAGAGAGGGGAATGAATTACATTCATTACCACTCAATGAAGTCAATTAATGGGGGTCTGACTGCACAGGGCGGATAATACAGAGTAGGGATGTTGGCCAGTGTCTGCCTTTATATACGTTGGTGTCTGTTGTAGTTGTTGAGAGAGAGAGAATTGAAACACCTGTCCTTCTAGTACCTCCCAAGCTTTTTGAATGTTTCAGACCTTAACCCACAGTCGAATGGGTTTCCTCCTGGCAGCAGCTTACCTCTTCTCCAGTTCTGAGTATTCCCATAGTCTTGGTTATTTGGCATCCAGACAGGACCTTTGATCCAAATTATACTGTGAAATTTTTAACTAGGTCATTCCATTTCTGTCAGAATCCTACATCTGAGCTACAGCCTATGTGTGGTACCCCACCCTTCCCTGATTCATTTTGCAACACATTCTTAATTAAAAGCATCCTGTTGCAGCAGTGGTAGGTAGAACAAAGACTGAAGTAGAACAAAGACTGAGCAGAATGTTTGAGCAAGAGAACTCAATGCTCTGCACCTTTCTTGATCTAGTGGCTAGGCCAGATACAAGTTTCAGTGATTGCTGTTGGGCCTGAGTCGCCCTTACTTTCTTTTGTATTTTGAGGATAAGCTGAGTAGGGACAGATCATTCCCCCCCCCCTGCCTTGCTTCTTCAGCACTTGTGGCCTTAGGGTTTTAAGCTCAATGGCTGTAGAGAAGACAAGAATTTTTCTCCCATGGGGCTGCAGGAGTTTTCCTTGTAGAAGGAGAAGCCAGCAGGCTGTTTCTGACTGTCTCATTTTCGTCTGCTGATACCCAGGGGGCTTTAAGAAGAGCCTCAGGATTTCGCCCTGGTGTAATTTAATAGCCCAGTGGCAGAGGATACAGAATGCGCAGTGTCTGTTACTCAGCCTATGCAGCTTACAGCTCAGCGCATTCTCATAAACTGGAAATGGCACCAGTTGGGCTGTGAATTATAGATGCTAGAAAGCAAATGCACTGCGTGTTCTGCTGGCTTTGCTAAGGAGCAGGAGCGTTGATTGCAAGGATAGACAGCTACTGAAGAGTGTTAATACCTTACCTCATCCCATCACAAGTTATCAGGTCTCCTGAGTCAGAGCCCATGGACTGACTGAGAATTCACAGTACTAGCAATCCTGTGCTATTCCTGACTGATGCCAGAATGAATGTGTAATCAGCCCCAATACTGGCAAGGGATCGTAGAGAAAACAACAAAGGCAGAAAGGATTTGTCTTAATTCTACCCTACTTGAAAGAACTGCAAAAAAAAAAAGGGAAAATATCTTATTAACCTGTAATTATGAGCTAATCTTCTCCAGGCTTCTCTTACAGCTCCAATAGATTGTTGACACACAGGTTGGCTGATCCTCCACCTTGTCTGTGCTGCTCAAAAGGATGCAAAATTTTCCTTTCCTATCAAGGGAAAATGGCATTCTCAGAGTAGAATCAGAGGTAGAAGCCACTGGAGGTGAAGGGAGAGGGACAACAGCCAGTGTACTTGCATCACGCATGCCTTAGTGAAGAAGGGGCTAGGCCTTGAGCTGAGCAAGCCACAATGTATGGGTTCATCAACCAGATCCCTTAATACAGCAAAGTTGCAAAGGTTAAAAGGGAAAAGTGATCCTGTGTGTTCTTTCATTAGCAAATTGGCATCTGAAGGCTCCCAGAAATGCTATCAAATACCCTGCCAAAAGCTTGCAACTTCGAAGGCAAGGTATTAGTTAACATCTGTCTCATAGGTGATGTTCTATGGCCCTTGTAATTCCTTACATTCAAAGACTATGCTGATTTCAAATTGTGAGACAGACCTACAGCTGAGATGGAAGAAAGACTAAAAGGCTCTCCTTGTAGGAAAGAAAGATACTGAGATCAGAACAAGATAGAAGCTAGTATGGCTCACAGACCTGAGCAAAAAGAGACTGGTTTCCTAGGATAGAGTCCCTCAGCCTGTTAGCAGTCACAACTAGCTGTAGTTAAGGAGAGGTGCTAATGATTTGGGCCGTATCTGGCAGCTGTTGCTTCGGGCTTCTTGTCTTTTCTTGCTGTTGGCTTGCTGTGAGACCAGGGATATGCTGTTTTGACTCTCAGCCTCAGTTCTTCCATGACTGAAATGAAGACAGCTCTTGCTTTCTATAGAATGTGCTGTGAGGCTGAACAGACTTGTACTGGTGCAGCTTTTATAACGTTGCCACTATACATATCGCTTAGTAAGTCTTGGTGCCTGTGGAGCAAAGATGACCCAGAGATACTCAGTGTCTTAATCCTGAAAAGGGAAGGCAGAGCAGGTAGACTTCCAGAGAACCGTGTTGGGTCCCATTCTTCTACCTCCACTACTCAGGACTGAAAGGCTTTTATAGTTTGAGTCAGACGTGTCACGAAATATGATGTCTTTTACTGTATGGTGGCTTTAAAAGCACTCCAGGGTTTCCAGGGCTCCTATTTACTTTGAAGGCATTTCAGATCCACAATGCAGCTTTATAAAGAGCTCTCTGCACAAAGGGTTGCCTGTTTTACTCATTTGTCCAGTATTTTATTTCTTCTGTGGTGAGGCTGAAGAGCAATAGCAAAGTGAAAAGGAAATGAAAACTTTCCAGGAAGAGCTGCAGCACTCACTGTGGCCAGAAGCCTACTGAGGCCTCATTTCTGCTCCATCTGTGCCGCATTCCAAGAGGAGAGCAGAGCGGCTGCAGTGCCCTATTCTGGAATCATGCAGCAGCTCAAGGGAGCCCACAGCCCTGATCCTCTGTGATCCAGTGTTGAGGAGTGCTGCTCCCTTCCTTTCCTCGTACGTCTTGATCTAAGACACGCCCCAAGAACTCCTCACAGCGTAGCCCCTCTTTTGCTCTGTCTTGGTTTTGTTCAGCACGCTCAGAACAGGCATGCTTTGCAAAGCACTGACTAGCTGACGCGCTAGTCTTGTCTCCTGGACGCCCATAAGAGAGTACCAGTTTTGCTCCCCAGCCTCCACGTGCCCCATATCTAGTAGTTTTTCTTTTACACTGTTCAATCCTGCAGTCTCTCCCATCTCTTTCAACCTGCTGTTTTATCTTTTAAGGAAGATGCCACATCACCTGGTCTTCATGGAGTGAGTGTCTCTGCTTTGCACAGTCCAACTTTCCCACCTCGGCCTCCAGCAAGGAGAAAACGATACACGATCACACCAGGACACTTGAAATGGGACCACTTCAACTTGACATACAAGTACGGACTTGCATTAGCCCTAAGAATTAGCCTTTTCTGTCACTGGGGTCTGAGTTTTTCCTGTCACGGGTATAGATATTTACCATATGAACATCACTAATCTATTTGCTAATGAATGGATAGCTGCTAAAGCTGCTCTAAAGTAGGAAGTATTTTTACAAATGCTGCACCTCTCATGTCAGCTATGGATCGTGCAAAGCATTGTCGTTGCATTAGAAGCTAGTAGCACATAATGGCTGTGTGCTGGGGCTACTTATAGTAAAACTAACTGTTCAGGGACAGATTCAGGCTTCAGATAGATAGGCTTCCCAGAACTAGGGACTTCCTTCAGAAGGTAGTGAATTGAATACTAACTCTGTCATGCTTGGTATTTTTAAAAGAGTTCTGTATGAACCTAAATAATCACTGAGGGAAATAGCTATTGAAAGGTTCTGTGATTTCAGGAGGACAGAGCTCTGTTAGTGCTGAGAGCTTTTGGGAAACTCTTTCTCCCTGTTGTCTTTGGGAAAGGATGCCAACTCTTAGATTACTAACAAATAAACAATAAAAAGCCCTTGGCAATTCTAGGGTGAGTGAATGTTAACCCTAATATTTTCAGATGTTTCTGCCAAGGAGAAGTGGCTGTCCAGATTACTGATTTCCAGCTGGGTTTACCGCTGCTCAGAACCAGCAGCATGCCAGCAGTACCATACAGCTATAGAGTGGTCTGGTTTTGATAGGATGGAGCTACGTAAATGTGCAGTGCTAGTACTACTTTCAACAAGCAGGCTGTTCAGAGCCAAAGCTGATGGAATCCTATGGATTTTCACACTGAACTGTTTCTCGTTGCTGTCCGTCTTTACTGCTACTGCTGGCAGAAGGCAATGTCGCTCCTGTTTGGTGTTTAGCCTTGGAGCAGCTCTCTTCCTTACTTTAGCAGTGGCTGAACAGCCCCTGAAACCATCCAGAGCGATGGGCTGTGGTGGCAGCATCCTGAAAAGATGCTTTTTCTCTCTGGGAAAATATTAATGGTATTGTTGAGTATTTTTCAGGAGAGCTAAGATGAGCTCAGACAGAACAAGGTTCAGGGAATCCCCTTGGAAACAGTTTCATAAGATGAGCACTGGCAGGTAGAATCAGACTGTCACGGGAAACCTCAGACTAGCAGGAGTCCTGGAGGTTTGACTGAAGAAAGGCCTGTTGTTCACTCCTGGCTGAGAGTCTGCACCTTCCTGGAGACACAACAGCCAAACCAGGTTTTTTCAATGTCTTATGTGATAACAAAGGTCCTTTTAATGTGGCTGCTAACTCCAGCCACTCCTGACTTTAAGGTACAGAGCAAGCCCCAAACCCGACCTCTCGAGAGCTGCAGTCACTACCTGTTAAACTGCAGTGGCTTGAATGGCAGGTCACACTGGATTTCTGAAAACACTTATAAGTGGCCTCCGGCAGCAGCAATATGTGTTGCAGCTTTTTCTTGGCATTGGGCTGAGGACATCGTTATGGAGCTGTGAGGGTCCCTCCCACGCTCTCGCTCTGGAAAACTCGACCAGACTGTGACTGTAAAGGGTGGGAGAGTTTTCTGTCACCAACAAACAGGAAAGGAAGGCATTTTGAGCTTTGTTTGCAGTGGATTTGCCTGAGGCAGCGGAGGTAAGGAGTGAGTGAGGAGGGCGAGTGGGGTGGGCAGGATGGCAGCAGCTGCATCTGTCCGAAAGCTCTGCGCTAACCCCTTTCTTCTCCACAGAAGCAGGAGGGGGAGTAGCTCAAGGTCCCCAAATGCAGGCCGGGAAGATAATTTGCAAGGTGTGGCTGATGCTGCAGTTACCTCTGTTCTCTAGGTAGCTGTAATGCCATTGGTTACACAGATTTCTCGTCGTTACTGTCGCTGGCCTTATTTGCTCGATGTGCGGTGGTGGTTGTTGCGTTGTTCTGTGGGTGATGCTGTGGTGCTGATCACTACACGTTTACTTCCCGGTGGACAGCAGGGGTTCTGCCTGTAAGCCCAGCAAAGAATGAGTGGGTGGCATGAACCTGACTCCTTCACACTGAGCAGAGAACGTATCTCCCTTTACGCTTATCCCAAACAGGCTAAGCCTCATGATAGTCTTAATTGTCCAGGTTCACGTTCATTAACAGCCTGGCTTGATACGAAACCTTCTGCTCCCTTTAGGATGTGCTGGGACGAAGGGAGAACATAAACAGCATAGCTAAAAAACAACCAGAGGGGATAGCAGAATATACACAGCTTTTCCCAATTGCTACACTTCAGGCAATTTCCTGAATGCAGATCTTCTTTTGGGACAAGGTAAGTTTCTAGGAGCCATCTATCCATTTCCATGGTTCTGCCATCCTGCACCAGTCGTTTTCTCACCATTCAGCTGTATCTGTACCTGTGGCCTAAGCAAAAAGTGCTCTCGAGTCTCCCAAGTGATGAGATTTTTTTCAAAGGAAATAACTTGTTTTACTGTCAAACTTTTGATAACCTTTGGAACCCTTTCAAAAGTTCTGCCCGAGTGTTATAATTCAGCACGTGCACATACACGGTAGCCTAAGTGTTATGAATAGGAGTTACCTAGTCTGCTGCTGAAATGCAGTTGTTTCCTCTTCTAGCAACACTGCACAACAGACTGGGAGATGTTAGGATAAAAACAGATTTCCAAGAGAACCTTGTCTAAAATGGTGTGCTTGAGGAGGGACAAAAGCTGTAGTCCGGAACATGTGATTGTAAATATATTGTAATATTGTAATATATTAGTTCCTGTGGGGGTTTTATTAAATATTCATAATATCCAATTCAAGCTATTCCTGTTTTGAACCTATTAGAGTGAATGGAAAGACTTGATTTTCTGATGCAACCTTGAGAGCCTTCAGCTGATGTTTGAGAAGGGAATGCCATTTTCCTGAAGTTGTTCTGTGTTCCTACAGAATCCTGTCCTTTCCAAGAAACCTCATAAATGCCAGGGACACACGCAAGGGACTAGCGGCTGCGTTCCGAATGTGGAGTGAAGTTTCACCATTCAGCTTCAGAGAAGTGCCACGCCACGTAGCAAGTGACTTGAAAATAGGTAAGCCTGCGCAGGCTCCTGGACTGACGGAACACTCTTGTGCATGTTAACTCCACAAGGGACTTGTGGAGTTCGGAGGCAGGAGATAGTCCTCCTCTGCTGTATGGACATAGCAGGGCCTCTTGGATGAGGAACTGGGGCATCGTTTGCCTTTAGTCAGGTACAGAAACTACTTTTAGTTGCTCTACAGAGATCTTATTATCATAATTAACACTTTCTGTGAATCTTGCAGTTGGGAAGCTTTAGGTATTTGACAAGAATTAACCCTCAAAATCTGCCACTGGGACAGGATTAGCTCTATTCCACAGATGGGGAAACTGAATATTGAAATGACATATCCAAGGTCACACAGAGCAGGTGACGGATTCCAGTGTGTTTATGGTTTTAGTCTCCCTTTTGCTGATCCTGTTGAAGCACCATCTTTTCTCTGTCCTCCCTCCCCTCTCCTTTCTTCTGCCTCTGTACCGCTATACTTCCCAAGTTTCTCAAGCCTAGAAAAATGTTAGTTCTGAGGCATTATCTGCTCAACCCCAGATGTAAATTCTTCCTGGGATTTATGGTCTGTGTGAAAGAATTATTTCCTGCGCAGATGGCAGCAATATTGAGATAACCAGCAGATTTACCATTGTTTCGCAACGTGCTCTTCACTCTCGTGTTGCATGACGCTACTTACAGGCACACCATATGCCTTCCCAGGGGTCTGTCCTGCTACTACATGTGAGCTCCAAGTGGCCCAGTTCCATTGGACGCAGGCTACGCTGAGATGCTGTCATGGCACTAGCAAAAAGACAGCAAGCCGCTATGACTATAAGGCTATCTGCTTATTTACATTTTAAATGGAACAATTACATCCTGGGGTTATCATCTCACTGTCCAACTTCTCTCCAAAATAAAGAAGAATTTCCATGTGATGTTGCAAAAAGAGCTCAGCATTCCTTTCTGAAAAGTAGACTCATTTGTGTCTGTTGGAAACAGCTCTAAATCCAGGGTCATCACAGGGCTGAGTATAGTTTGCACCACAGCCATCATTCCTGACAATTGCTTTGCATTTATTTTTCCTTTTGTGGCTCTGTAGGTTGGAAAATATGTGGGATACCATAAGAGTGGGGGTTTTTTTGTTGGTTTTTTTTTTTTTTGTAAACCACAAGTTTACAGCTGTCTGTGTCCTGGATGGCCTTACCCTGCTAGATACACTAAATCTGCTTTTTTTTTCACAGGCTTCTACTCTATCAATCACACAGACTGCCTGGAGTCTCTTATTCACCACTGCTTTGATGGAACAACAGGGGAACTTGCCCATGCCTTCTTCCCACCCAACGGGGAAATCCATTTTGATGACCATGAATATTGGATATTGGGGAATACCCGGTTCAGCTGGAAAAAAGGTAACACATGTCTCTGGGAGCGCATGATTAATGCCTGTAGGACTTTTATTTTAGTCCTTGTTCTGGGGTTTACCTAGTATGGGAAAGAGACAACAGAAATGGTTGTGATTTTCTGTAGTTTTGGAAGCTGTTGGTCTTGCTGTCATGTGACTGAACTGCTATAAGGGACCGTGTTTGGTGGCAGTGCCGTTTCTTTCTGAATATTTCAGTGGACTTACTAGTTTGGCCACATACTCAGTTATTACATGTGGCTTCTGCCCAGGCAGGTGCATCTCTGAGAAGGGCCATGTTATATTACTTTAACTTGTTGGCATGGCTCTTTACATTTTAGGTTTTTTGGGTTTGTGGGCACCTAAAAATGTCTGTGTTGCTTGCAGCTTGGTGGTTTTTTCTTCTTGTGTTTTTTTTTTTTTTTAAGTGATATCAAAACCAACTTTTAATTAAAAGCAGATGGTCCCTGACTAGCAAATTCGGTTCATATTGTATGACCAACTCAGTACTTTTTTTGAAAGTAAGATATTCTGCTTTTCACCAAATAAAAAGAGAGGAGAGGAGGTTTTAGGTGACATAGAAGGACTTTTCCTATCCTTGTTTTCCAAAGCACAGCAACAGATAACATCTAGGGACAAAGACCAGAGGGAGATGATTTTTAAAGCCAGAATGTCAGTGTGTATTAAGAAAAAACTGGTCAGATTAAATTTTGTGAAATACTCAGCTTTGAAAAGATGCCCTTCTCCATCAAACTTCTAAAGTCTGCTAACTATATCAAATGTCAATGTTTGTCAGGGAGAATAAAAATCAGAGAGTTTGGTAACAAGCCTATGCCTCGAAGTTACAGAGTTATCGGGGAACAATGTGTTTTTCTAACCTGCATTTTTCTGCAAGCAGCTGTTGAAACAAGTATAGACACTTGCAAAACTTGATTCTTAGTGAAGTTTTACTAAGATTATGGAATAAATCAGTGTCCTGAGTGCCAGTTCTGCCACTGACTCTCTATCATGGCAGTGTAACTCCAGTCTTTTCTATGGAGACAGTCCTGCAGTTGATTTGCATACAATTCAGTCACCTTTGTGAAACAGTAATAACAATTCTGACTTCAGAAGGCCAGTGTAAGGCTGAGCCATTTCATACTTGTTCACAATGATTGCTTCTCTTTCCAAAGCTAAATTAGCCTTCTTTATTGGCATAAAGAAGGATGGGAACAAAGTAGAATGAAATCATTGTTCTTCCAAGTCACGTCAGAGAGATTTAGCAGAATTCTTTAAGATCATCCAAAAAAATCCACCCACTAGGTATTCCTAGTTAATGTACTGATGAATTAAGCACACGTACAAGCTACCCCTTTCAGATCCTTTCTTTCCATAAGCAGTTGGGTTTAACACAGGAATTGTGTGAGATTCTTGTGGCCTGTAATTGTGCAAGGTATCAAGATAGGTGTTGGTAATAAATAACACCTCTTGCGAGTCATCTTTCAGTTAAAAATCCATCTCTGCTGGAAGCAGGTTTCAAGATGCTACCCAGAAACTATAGGCTATGGGGGATGCAGAGGTCAGTCAGAGGCTCTTTCAGACTGGAATATCCCAGCTAGCGGTCTCATTTCCAAACAGCCATTTCCAGTTACAGCTCAGGGCTGCGGGAACAAAGTTAGCAGAAAGCTGTCAAGAGTAAGTAAATGTTACGCAGGGCACTTGCCTTCATTTCAAACATTGCGCACTCAGAGCAGTTTTCCTGTAGTCTGGCAGTGCTGCTCTGTGTCCTGCTGTTTCAAATTAGAAGCATGTGGAAATAATTGGCTCATTTATTTGCACCCAAGCAGCTACAGAGAAGATGAAACTAGGGAAACCTTTGATAAGACCATACTGTCCTAGTGCTAAAATATTTCCTCTGGTTTTACACCAGGATTAGCAAATGTACTTTGCCACGCAGTGCCAGCTGTTTTTGTTTCTCTTCCAGGTGTTTGGCTTACAGATCTGGTACATGTAGCAGCTCATGAAATAGGACACGCCTTAGGGCTCATGCACTCCCTGAATCCCAACGCCCTCATGCACATCAATGCCACTTTGACTGGGAAAAAGACCATCTCTCAAGATGAAGTTTGGGGAATTCACAGACTTTACGGTAAGGAAGGCAAGGTTGTGCTCTGGGCTCCTCTGTGTAAAGAAGGTTTGCCTGAAGTGTCAGTTGGATCCTGTGGAGCTCTTATGGTGTTAGACCCTCATCATTTGGCAGGACTAGGCTGTAAGCCAGTGAGCAGGAGGGATCTGACTCCTTTTTATGCAAAGTAGAGCTAAAAGGAGGTGTAGTATTTCTGTTTCCAGCACTACTAGCTTCAAATGTGATAGACGGGAGGCTGGAGGTCCGTGTTCCCACCTCCCCAGATGGCAGTTCTGAGAAAAGGTTTCCGAGGGGTCAGTCCACTCTGTCCTCAGACTGCTCTGAGCAGCTCCAGCAGAGGCACAACACTGTCTGTGTTCTCACGTGCCTGGATCATTATGTCCCAGCCCAGCAACCAGCTCTGGGCATTGACTCTTTGGGCCTTTTGGACTGTGGCTTATACAAGAATAAAAGGTCAATTTTAGCCGTGGAGAGCCCTGACTTGCATTTATACATCTGCAAGCATCAGGTGCCCAAAGGAAAAGCTCATGTGCAAAGGAGGGGGGAAGGCAAACAGCTGTTAATTACTCTTTTGGCTGGATTCAGAAGTATTAATACATGACAAAGCTCTCTGCAAACCAAACAGGCTGTGGCAAGATTCTCTCAAGCTCTGACACGTTTGCCTGCTACTCTTCAAATGTGAGCTAGTGTAGGACTTACTTACAAATAGCAACTCGCGTGAATCACTGATGCTACTGCGTGAAAGTAGCTCGGTATCTAGTCCGCTGCTCACATAATAATGGTACCCTGTTCTAGTTAGTTATTTACTCCCGTTTTAGATTCTTTCCTATCCCAGCTCTACCATTTACATTGAACGATCTAATTTAGATGAAATGTCAATTTGATTCCCAGAAAGAACAGTCTACCCCAATCCCTCTAATGTCTTGTCTCCTTCTGTTTCAGGATGTAAAGACAGATTATTTATGTGCCCATCATGGGCACAAAAAGGTTTCTGCGAGAAACGCAGGAAGTTGATGAAAAAGCACTGTCCATCCACCTGTGACTTCTGCTATGGTATCTAACTTTTCTTCTGGGATTTTTCATGGGGTTTGCACAGAGGGAGGAAGTTAAGCAGAGTTTGCTGCAGGGATAGACAGGATCTTAATTCCACACTAGAGATCGGTGGATGCAAATGACTAGCCCCATCCAGCTCTAATGAGAAGCACAGCGGAGATGGCCTCTTACATATCTGAGCCAAGATCAAGGCTTGAAGTAGGAAGCAGCTTTGATGTGTAAACATTTGTGGACTAGAACCTTAAACTGTCCCATTCTTCTCTAGTTAACTGAACCAATGATAGGGAGTCTCTGAAAACACAACTACTCTGTGTGCCTCAGACTGCTTCCCTTTTGGACCCAACTGAGGAAGTGAGATGCTGATGTGTTAAATTCAGGGATAAGAGATGCAGTACAGTTCCTGATGCAGTGGTGGGACATAAACAAGACAAATGACATCTCAAGCACAGCTGGACTTGAGCTGCTCTGAAGAAAAGGAGATAAAGTATGTTAATCACCTTATCTAGTCTCTCAGTTTTATGAATCCAGATAAGGGACTAATGGAGGATCAGGTCAAGTTACTGCAGCTGTGGAATTAAGCTTCGGATAAATACTTACTGACCTTAAGATGATGTACGGTATAACTAGTACCTCCTTCTCCAGTACAGAGGTCTTTTTGTAGATCACAGTAATGCAAAGATGCAGTCAGATCATTACAAATCCATATATTTTAGGGGACTGTTCATATACAGAATGTATACTCTTCCATAAATATGAAACAGGCAACGTGATTTTTTTTTATCCCTCTCTGTCAGTCTACAAGCCACAAAACTGTTACCTTTGCATATGTATAACATTACATGTCTATCTAAGAATTGCTCAGTCGGAGGCATTTTTAAACTAATACTTTTAAGGTTCCTTAGGTGGTAACATAATTCTGTGAAAGTTTTAGAATGACTAAAGCTTGATAATGAGATATGCTAACTTTTGCCATTTCTTTCTCTCGCCTCTGGTGGACAGAATTCCCATTTCCAACCGTCCCCCCTACTCTGCCCCCGCCAAGGACAAAAACCAAGACTGTTTCTGAAGGCAGGAACGTCACCTTCCGCTGTGGACAGAAGATAATTCATAAAAAAGGCAAAGTTTAGTAAGTACTCTATCTTTTATTCCAGTCCTTTAGGAGACTTTGCAGCTTACATACCAAAAGGGATGAGGAAGGATGTCAAAACAGCATAAATAAGAATGCAGTTTATCTTCTGGAGCGTGTCACTGTCTTATTTGGCACTCAGAGTAGAAAGAGGGGGGCTGGCTAACTGTGAGAAGGGAGTGTGCAAATACTGTTTATAACATTGCAAAGCATTTAGTCTGAAAGCAGAGCTACCGGAAATGAGCAAGCCGAGTTGAAAAAGGATAAAATCCAATTCATATATATAGCACAAAGATAATTCTTACCATCAAGTCAAATTCCCTGGCCCAGATGCTGCAAAAACCTAGTCTTCAATTTACCCTTTTCAATTAATGGTTTGTTAGCTCTTACTAACGTACAAATACATTATTTCTGGATGTATTTAAAACAGATATGCTGAAGTCCATGAGTTAGTTTAGACTGAGGATCCAAATTCCCATCAACTTTCATTAAGATTCAAGCCCTGAAATTACTCAGTGCCCTGTTACATAGCTGCCATTGTCTACCTGAAATATATAGTAAAACTTAACCTTGTTTTGTTAAAGTCCCATCTGTGCTGTACATATTCAGCAAAACTTAGATATTGCATTGTACTAGACATTTTGTAGTTTAATTTCTATTATTTTTCTTATGACAGCTGGTATAAAGATAAGGAGCTTCTGGAATACTCATATCCAGGTTACTTATCCTTAAATGAAGATCACATGAGCATCATTGCAAATGCAATTAATGAAGGAACTTACACTTGTATAGTAAAGAAAAAAGAAAGAATCTTGACTACTTATTCCTGGAGAATCAGACTGAAGCACTAACAAGGGCCCTGGAGTGAGCACTTCCATTACTGCTAGTTCTGTTTCAAATTCAAAACATTTCTTTGGCATTTTATATTTAATCTCCAGTAGTGCAACTGAACTTCTAAAATCAACTGCTTCCATACCTTGGGCAAAAAAGACTCTGAGACTCGATTACTGGAATGCAAAACTTTTCCACATTAGTTTTAATGATAAAGAATTTATCAAGTATGCTGTACAGAGAATTAAATTTTCTTTTTTAAAAAAAAAGTGTCAGATTTTGCAGTTAAACTCTGTGGATCACTGTGGACTGCTGAAAAACAAGAACGTAACTCTTCATCAAACAAATGAACGAACGGATTGATGGCTCAGGTATGTTGCAGTGGAGGCAGAGGTATTGTGGAAGGAAAATGACCAGTTGTACTCCGTAAGTGTTTTGCTGTCATTTTTTTAGATCCTGGTGCATAGCAATAGAAGCATGTATAAATAAAAGTATAACACCTAATATTACTTTTACTTGCTAGGAGGATGGAGGGTCACAACAAACCCTTTCTAATGCCTCCATTCCACATTTTGACATCTTCAGGTCAAGTATCCACAGAATGTCTTCTCCCCCCCAGCTGTTTTCCTGTGGTTTGTATTTATTACTTGTATAATCTTATCCCAATAGACTATTTACCTCCATCAGCAGCTCCTCGTAAGTTGTCCTGCAGGTGTCTGATCAAGAAGCCTCTCAACTCCTTCAAGAGAGATGAGGTAATTTCCATCACTGTCCTCCCCCAGTCACCCAAGTGATCAGGTAAATGAGCCACATCCAACAGGAAAATAGCATTAGTAGTGGTAGGCAAAGCCTATTGCACTCAAACATCTACAGTGGTGGAGCATTCATTTGCACAGTTAGGAATCCCTGGCATTCATTACATTCAGCAAGACCCTTACTTGTATTAAAGCAGCCTACATTGGTCTTTGTCTTAGGTTCATCCTTTTTTAGTTGTCCTCTTAAACCTCTCGAAACAAGTTTCTTCCTACTTAAAAGTACCAACAAAACTGCAACTCACACACTGCAGTATAGGTCAGCAGCCTAGGAAGACCTCTGTATTAGAGCAGAAAGGCTCTATCAGTAAAATTCTCCTCTTGTTCTAGGACAGTTTTACCATCACAGTTAGCTAAGAGCACAGCATAGTATAAAACTTAAAAATGTGTCTTTGCATGAACAATTAAGCTCAGGATCATAAAAGGCAAGCACTCTATGCAAATATAGACAGTTGAGACAAAATAAAAGCTGAGATGCAGTAACCAAACAATGTTGCACTACTCAGGGAGAGCCCTTTTACAAAAAAGAAATTAAGGTTACATGTATCTCTCATAACCATATTAAATTTCCATTGCAATCCAGCATTAGGTTTTCTTTGTTTTACTGTAACTATCCCAACTTAAATGAATAATCCTTTTTGTCAGGAACATACATCTTCCAGCAACGTCCACACTGGCTGCAACAATGCCAAGGAAGCTAGGAAGGAAATAATTTCACAGAATGCAAGATGCATAGCACAGCTTGAAAGAAATACAAAATATGCAGTCATATTCTAATCCTTTAGAGCCTAGCGCAGGCCATGGCAAAATGGCTCTCCTTTGCTGTACTCACTGGGATGTTGCAAAACCCCCTGCTTTTCAATGGGTTATTGATCTCCACCTGTGAGGAATCTTGCTAAAATCAGGCATATTTCAGTTAACAGACTAGTAGTAGAACTGTTTCTCCTTCAGTACTAGGCAATGAATCAGGCCTGAAGAGAAAATAGTTCTGTACTCCTCCACAGGAAAAACAACAACAAACCCTACTGGTTTCAAAATTTAACGCAAGTTTTAGTACATCCAAATTCCAGAACTCTTAAAATGTACTGAAATTGGTAGAATGTTTATAACTTACTTAAGTTAATCCTTTTACTGGACTGGTGCCGAGTTCTGATTGCATGAATACTCCTGTTCCCAGAAAAGAATGATAGCATTATAAATCAGAGACTCAAAAGGATGTGATATTCCAACATGATTCCTCCGGTCTTTCATCTTATGAGCAAGGACTGGAATATGGCATTATACAATCAGTAAAGCTAAGCTCTTCTTTTTATGGAAGAAGGGCATATTTAAAAGAACTTTCTCTAGAAAATAAAGCTTCAAGCCTCCATATTAAATCTTTTTTGTTTTATAAAACAATAGAGTACTACTTTTGCACCAGTGCCATTGTAAATACACATATACAACGCATCAAACAGTGTTCAGCTCAGCAGTGCACCCAAAAATAGTGTCAGTGAGTATTGAGCCCAACCCAGCCTAGCTCTCTCCAAGGCACACAACAGGAAAGAAACCTCAGAACCGTTATGGTTTTTTGCCCCAACTATATTCGGACACATACAATTTCCTTAAATTAAAAAAAGTTGTTTGCCCAGGCTGACAATACGCTGTAATAGTGTCAGCACAGATCTGGGGAGCAGCGGGAGGGGAATAATAAGTTTTCACTCTAGAAGACTTAATGCCACCAACATCCAAGTTTGCTGCATGTGAAGAAATGAAATCCTTCACACTATTAAACAATTAAAAATGTATTTTAATTCTACAAATTTACAAGGAAAAACAACAAAACAAAACAAACCCAACAAAAAAACCTAAAAATAAACCAGAAACTGTTCAAGGATTGTACTTCAAGTTTTCCTTTGTCAATTTTTGTAATGATCCTTGGCTTTTCAGGTTAATTCCAGTCCTCTAATGGAATGCAGCAGTTATACTCCACACTCAGCAAGAGCCTTTGAATCTGTGATGACATTTGACTTTTTTTTTTCCTGTGAAAAACATCTAGTTTCCCTGACGTGAAGAACAGAACTGGGGCACTCAGAAATCCACTCACATGAACAGTTGTTCTTTTTTTTTCCCTCCTCCTTCATGTTGAGTTTAAAACTTGAGGCTGAAACCAGGTCCTGCAGCAGATGCTCCTTGATTTGTGGTGGTCAGATGAAAACCTGTATCTTTCAGATCATCATCACCCTGTGAAAACCAATTACAATTCATTTATCAGTAAGTGTCTGTGCAGATGCATTTGTCTCCAACACAAAAATCTAAACAACAACAAAATAATCAAAGTATCTCTAGAAGATGAGAAACAAATGTTTGATTTAGTAACATCATAGGTAAGGCTGGTGCAGAGTGTTATTCACAATCTTTAAACATTGCTATTTCAAAAGTTATCTTCTAAAGGCATCTCAAGTGTATTCCTGGTTTGTATATCTACTTTTGACTGCACATGCAAAAGATGAAAAAAACTTGTGAACACACTGTACAAATAAGCATAAACTATGCTTACTCAATGTCCGATGAAACGCACTCTGCGTACCCTCCATGTCAATTTTTATATCCTGAAAAATCGAGGCTAAATAAACTTTTAAGGCTACTGCATCTGTTAAATTGGGTACAATAACTGCCATTTCATCTATGCTGAGACACGGAAATAGTAATAAATAGTTGATATAATTAAGGTACCTGAGACTGTAACATACTTAGAAGGGCATCTTTTTCAGCCAGCTTTTTTTCAAAATGGGGAGCACAATCCCCACAGATAGAAAGAACACCAACCTTGCCTTTTTTGAATTCTTCTCCAACTATTGGAAAAATGAGACTGTTTCTATCCACAAGATATGCATAACTTACCAGGCTTTGGATTTTTTTTTTTTTTCCAAAAATAAATTGCAGCTTTAAAAGCTTAGTTGAAAGTGTAAAACAACACACACTTTCAGAAGAAACATTGTCGTGCGCTGTGATAAAACCAGGCATCATTTCCTTCTCAGATTATACACTGAAATTATAATTCTGTGAATACAACAGTAATTGGACCTGCCCTTTGAAAAGGAACAGAGGGAAAGCTGGACTGCTGTAGAAGTGGTTTGCATGCAAGTACAGGTCCAAAGCCCCAGAAGGCTAACAAAATGCAGCCCACATGAACTTTTCCAAAATTAGGATGTGAACATGTCCGAGGACATCAGAAGTCTGTGGCAGTTGCATCCATCTGCTATGCTTACCAACTGACTATAGCCAAGGCCTCCCTCAGGTGGGCGTGGGCTGGTACCACGTTTTACCCTTTGTTGCTCGCTTTTTGCCGGCCAGGTGGGAAACATGGAAGGGTCTATAGGAAGGGGAGTCTCTCGGAAATACTCGTGCTTCAAACCATCTTCAGCAGTAATTCTTCTGGCTGGGTAGTATGTCAAAAAGCTGAGAAGAATTTAGGAAGACAATGAAATAGGGAAGAAGAGACACAGAGAGGCAGAAAGGAGAAAAATTTTAGCCCCCAAATTATAAATTCTTCAGAAACACAATTTAGAATTTTCTGATTTTTAACAAAGAATTCTATTAATGGATATAATTGCTAACATATGGGCAATCTAACATAGCTAGCTAATTTTAAAGGCCTGCTTCTTACATGAACCTATAATTAATGGAACAGCAGCTAGAACTACGTATCAAAAGTAGCTTTTGTAGGAATCTGTTTACAGAGGTATAAATTGTTAAGACACCTCAGAACCTGTGAGTAGTCAGATATAGCTCCCAAGGGACCCGGGATGGTTCAGTTAAAATATTTTACAATGCTGCTTTGCTTTTTAGAGAAGACAACTGAGATAATATTGATACAGCACAAAATATTGTAATATAGTGTAACTTAACTGTACAACCTGTGGTTATTTTAAACCTTTCACAACACAGAAACATGTTTCTGTACTGTACTATTCATCCTACCAAACAGTGTTTGGCCCTGACTGTGTAAAAGCTTATATATCCAAGATTTGTACATGTAATGAGTTCTGCTGACTTATGTACACTTACTTGTGTGTTTCTGCAAGTTCCAGACCCACATGAATACTACAGAATTGTCATTCTTACCCAGAATAATGAAGACACAGCCCTGTCATAACCAATTAAGAAGTACAGATGACAGTTATGTGATACCTATCTTTAGTAAGACAAGTCGTGCTTGGACCTTCTAAAAGGTTATCTAACTTCCAATAAATTATTCACAACTCATTCAAAAACCTGGAGCAGCATAATTCTTAAAAATTGGAAAGACTGAAAAATCCCCCCCCTTAAAAAAAAAAGTAGGGGTTTTTTTTTAAATTTAAATTTTTTTAATAGAGATAAGGTCTAAGTAAGATCTGAAACTCATTGATTTCCACTACTTCACATCATGAAATTTAAAGGCAGTATGAAGGGGGGGGGGGGGGGGGACAAAAAAAATTTCTCAAGCATTTTCCAGCCTTTTAAAGAAGAATGAATTGGAACGCAATCAAAATGCACCAGTAGTTAGTTAAAAGGACTGCCAGAACATCAGATGTGACAGAACTCATGAACTTTGAAAATCTAGGAAAAAAACAGGATTGCTGTTTTCCTAATTCTTTATATGATCTCTAGAATGTACTGCTTTTTTTCCTTTTTTCAACTACAATTTAACTGTTTTAACAAGATCCATCAGCAAACTGCATGATAGCTGACTCACCACATAACATGACAGAATGAGCTGAAACTACTACTAAAACATTTTTCTGTTCTTCTAGGATATAGGTGTGCAAGAATAATCTCGGACTGAGGTTTAACAGCAGGTGTTAAGAACATGGTACACTGAATAAAGCTGTTGTGAGAGAGTGAGGAGTAGCATTGCAAGGAATGTCACAAACTGCAAATGCATCAGCATGCTTTTACAAGGTTAAATGCAGTGAAATACCATGCTTCACTACAAGTCATTTTCCACCACTATCAGAGCACAGGAACACATTTTCCCAAGGATACCCTAGAAGCTAGCACTTACTTGTTCATCAGATCAAACCCCTGATCAGAGAGGAGCGCTCCAAATCTCTTGCGTAGATTGTTATAGGGATATTCTGTGAATGTCATCTTCTTTACTGCTGGCAGCTCATTGTAACCAGGCCAGATTTTTTCGCTTGGAGTACCCAGATCCTGTAAATTAAATTATCTCCTTAATAAACTCATTCTAGAGTGCAACCATTCTACTTATTCATTACATAGGTACAGGAGTTGATAAGTATCCAGAGAAAACAGACAAAACACAAATCACAGTCTTAGCCTACTATAAAACAAGAATCAGATTAATAAGCCTCTTATTAAGGCTGAGTCTCCGTCAAAGAGCAATAAGCGCTTTTAGTTTCTTACTACTCTAATTTACCTGTCTCTAAAACTAGTCAGAATGCAAAGGCGTTAAAAAAATTACCTTAAAAACTTTGTTAATCTGGTCAATTTCTGACTTCCCTGGAAACAGCGGTTTCTGCGTTAACAGCTCTCCAAATATACACCCTACCGACCACATGTCTATCGCCGTTGAATATTCCTGAAAAGAAGGAATATATTATATCTTATAAAATCAGTAAGATACTTTAACCGAGTTGTTTGGGGGGAGTGGGGTGGTGGTAGTGTTGTTTTGGTTTGGGGTTTTATTTGGGGTTTGGTTTAGTTTGTTTTATTTTCTTCAGGATTCTACCACTCTGAACAGAACACATACAGTCATTCCAATACCCAAGGCACAGGTCTCAACTGTATTTAAAAGTTAGTATTACTGTGAATTATGAGTAATACTCATATACACAAATACTTCAGGATGAAACGTGCAAGTCTCCACAATGCTGCTTTTCTTTTTCACTCCCAGAGCATCACAATTAGCAAAGCATTCTAACTTGCACTCTCTTTCACAGAGATCCTTAGCCCTTAGTTTGCCACAACAGCAAGCTCAGGTTACAGGCACAAAACCTGGTCTCCACAGTACACCTCTTCTCTTAAACGCAGCCATACAAAAACGTCTTTGAAAGGTAGCATATGGCTTCTTTTACCTTTGCACTCATTTATTTTGGTAGCAGTAGAATATTTTTTTTCCAGCATGGTCCTTGTCACGGAAGCCCTACAGAACCCTACTGATTTCATCCAGATTTCAGTTATGAGACAGGTAATCAGTAGGGAACATTGCCAGAATGTTGCCAATACCTTGTTCTGCTCCTAGGTGTCACAAATTTTAAACTAAGGTTAAGAAAAAATAAAAATCCAGCCGCTTAAGATGACAGTGACAGTTTGCACCAATCCATGAGAAGTCCAGCAGCACTACCACATCAGCATTCTAAAGGAGAAAAACTCAATCTATCACCCACCTTCTGTCTGTGGAAGATGGAAACTTTTTAGCTGTGTTATTAGGAAAAATAATACTAAAGATTTAGAATTTCTACCTCTAAATCAATATAAAGAATCAAGCATACTCATACTTTGTTTATAAATTATAAAATAAAGTTAGTCTGAAGAGTCATTCCTCTAGCAGCCAGAGGGACAAGGAGAAACGTACCTTAGCTCCAAGCAGCAGCTCTGGAGCCCTGTACCAAAGCGTCACAACCACTGGCGTGTAAGGCTTCAGCGGAGATCCGTATTCTCGGGCTAGTCCAAAATCTCCAACCTAAATGAAAACTGGTAATCAGCAATATTTCCAACATTGACCATACCATTTACTATCAGTGCCAGTACACGTTGGCCATGTTGGCTATTGCAAGCCTTCCAGCCTTCACAAATAGCCACACAGAATACACTGTTTCTCATGCACCTCCTTTGTCTTTTTTCCACTCAAGGGAAAACATTTCTCCCTTCCTGAAGCCAAGTAGGAGTTCCCGTTATTGACAGAAAGCTTATATGGCAGGGGAAAACAAAACAAAACACAACAATAGATGGTAACTTCAACTTCGCAAGCAAGAAAAAAAATTCAAAGTCCAGTTTGCCTGAGAAAGGGAAAGGCTAAAAATTTAAATGTTATGTCCTGATCTTATTATTACTGCTTTTCTCTTAGATTTTTTGTAAGAAGTCAGTGAAAGGTTAGATAGATTTTTAAAGTATGCAAGTTTTTTAAAAGATGTTTTCTTTGTAAAGAGAATCTCCATCTCCACCAGTAACTCTATAGTTCAGCACTACTACAGAGATTTATATTCTTTATTAAGCCTTACAATCTCTCAAGTTGAAAGAGCAATCCTAGTTCAAACACTACATTGCTGATATAGAAAAAGTAAATGACACTGCCATGCATATGGTACACTGCATCACCAGGAAGAGAACAGGGTTCAGGCTTCTAATCACGCTATAAAGAATTCAGTACTCACTAGACCATGCTTATTTGTCACGTCCTAACACAAATCTTACAGCTGTGGCAAGGCAGCCTCTTTAATAGTAATGTTCACTCTTTCGGAACTGTATGTTTTACCAGCCACATCTCATACCTCTTAAAGATTAATGCACAGCATTCTATCCAGCCCTTGACATAGCTATAATACAGTGTAATTCTGCAATACAAGCTTTTTCATAAGTGTGGTATATTTAATGTAATTCTTACTTTTAAAATGCCTGAATGACTGAGCAACAAGTTGGAAGTTTTCAAGTCTCGGTGAAGTATCCAATTGTCGTGAAGATGCTTGACTCCTCGCAGTAACTGAATCATCAAGGTTTTCACTTCACCTGAAATGATAAAAAGAAGCCAAATGCATTTAAGAGAATAAATCTTTATAATTTTTTGTTTGTTTGTTTGTAGAACAGGGAAGGGGCAGGGGGAAGAAAGAGATGTCAAGTTAAAAGCACAGTATAGACTGCACCATAAAAATACGTCATGGAACAAGAGCAGTTAAACCTAGAGAGCTGCCAATAAAACAAAAATTAATTTGGATAGCTGGAACGCATCCAAATAATACTCAGAAATTAATGCCTCTCAAAAACATAGAAAGCAGCCAAAATTAAAACCCAGTGTTTCTTTTTCAGTTTAGCACAGGGGAAACTCCCTCAATTTCACACCTGAACCTCCACTTCACCCTAAGCATGCAAACTGGATTCATCAGCCAAGTATCACTACGAATATCAGCACTCCCAGCCTACGATCCTCTCTTGGCTTGTGTCAATAAAATCAGACCGAACAGAGAAAAAGCAATGAAGTCTCTGTTCCAAAGAACAGTCATAGGACATTCCAAGGCAATACACATCACCATACAAAGCTAGTTCTCTGATGTCAGTACAGCCCAAAGACACTGAGGTTTGTGTTGGCCAGTTTTCCAGTTTTGAGAATTATAGAAGACTATGGCAAACAGTACCTGGTAGAAATGGTTGCTTCATTGTTTCCATCAGACTCTTGAGATCGTGTTCTACGTAGTTCATTACAATATAGATTTTATCCATATTGCTACCTACAACAATTTCCTAAAACACAGAAACAAATGATCAAAACAAGCATGCAGTATTTAAAAAGCATGCAAAAATGAATTTTAGAAATTTACTGGCAAGAGAATAAATGGAGCCTGACAGTGGTAAAATCCATAGAAAATGTTATTTTTCTATGGAAAAAAACCCAAACCCAGATCATTTTTGCAAAACATCAGATTATGTAGGGACAAGTAATGTCTATATAGTTTTACAGGTAATATACAACTGTTTACAGAAACCAGCTCTGCTACAAATGCTAACACTTTTATAAGGCATTTTAAAAGCCAAGAGGCAGTATTTCAAGAACAAAAATGCTTTTGAAATAGAAGATTGTGGCCTTACTCTGACAGTGACAATATTTAGATGTTGTGCTTTCAGAATAGTATTTATTTCTCTCAGAGAAGTAATGGGAAAGCCTTCCTTTTCCTTTTCCATTTTCAGTCGCTTCAGAGCCACAATTTCATCTGCAAAGAAAACAGAATTATTAACTGCAGATTTCCCAACACATAGCTAATAAAATACATGTCAAGAGGTCCCACAGTCTTCTGTCACTAATTTAATTTATTTGAATGAAAACTGTTACTCAAGACATTATATTGAACCAAGAAGCAGTCAGTCTCACATTAGCAAAGTAAAAACAAACCCCCCCCACCACCACCACCACAAGATTGCCAAGTTTAAAGAATAAAATCCAAAACAACAATCCAAAAGCTGCATCACAGATTTTAGTGTAGTGTATTCCAGCTCTCCTGGGAAGAAACTAAAGAAAAAGTATATTTAACTCTAAACTTCTCACCACAGTTAGGAAGATAAGACAGCAGACAGAAATGCCTCAAATGCAGTTATGCAGTTTACCTCTGTTTAAAGACCCAACCTGAAAACCAAGGTGCTACTCAAAACATTACTGAAGTGAATCATTTAAATACATCTGGTTTTTGCATGATACTGTGAAATAATGGTTATGTCAGCCTCAGAGCAGGCCTCAAGACAGAGAAGGAAAATTAAAACAAGCTCATGGTAGTTGTCCAGTAAACAAGTGAACTCAGAGAAACCACAATGCCAGCTGTATATTTCCACTCCCCAAAGGAGACCAAATGGTCATATTTTTCTGAAATAAACAGAGGAACCAGAATTTAAACCTGTCACCAAAATCACAGCTTGTCGTTGGAACCTGAGAATAACCCTAATTTCTGTCTAGGTCTGCTTTGGAACATAGTTCTTTTCACAGGCTCTCTTCGCCTTCTGCCAACTCTATTTAAAACTGCAAATATTTAATTTACTGTGCTACAGTTCCCCTTGAAAATGAGCAGCTTGTATTGCTAGTGATGGCAACATTACAGGGAAACCGAGGTCAGAGCCAAAAGAGCAGATCATACCTTGCTGTGCATTATCTTTTTCCAGAAAAAAAAAAAAAAAAAAAAAAAAAAAAAAAAGGGCCGCACTAATATCACTATCTTTGTTAAACTGTCAAAGCAAGTATTTCTTTCACTTGAAGAATCACTATGGAAGAGGGACATACAAATGACTTATCATTGGCTTTTGTACCATTCATAGGAAATGCAACAATTTCTTCAAGATGCTTGCCATTACAAACCAAATAAGCAAAGAGATTGAGTTTTAAAAATATTAAATCCACTTGTATATACAAGAAGTGGTCTTCTGAGAAGGAGATCTAAAAATGAAGAGTGACGTTTCTTTCTACAACAAAATACTGCAGTATATACTCACTGCACACCAGCCGCTGCTTTTATGAATTCTCTAACTGGTAGCTGTGCTTACAGTGACGCCTGGTGGAACGCTTTTATCAAATTTTGAAAACCTCCAACCCAGTAACTATCTACAGCAGATCTTAAGCCAGAAATAACTGCCTTTTGAGTCAGAAACTGAAACCGTGTTCGTTGTTCTACGTCGCCATGGCCAATACAGAGATTACTTGTGAACTCAAAGAGCTGGAAGTGAAGCCTTTATGTCAAAGTCCACATCCTATTAAAAAGCATAGATTATTCTTAATAAAGAAGTATTTTAGACAGTTTTTGTTCATCAATGAAAAATGCAGAACTGTAATTTGCATACAACTGCAGCCCTAAATACCATGAAGATAACAATTGCAGACCGCTTATACTAACCAGTCTTCTTGTCTTTTGCTCTGTACACTACACCATACGTTCCTTCTTCAATCCTGTTCAAACACTGAAATTCCTCCACGCTACGACATCCCTGAAAAAACAGGAAGACAGACAACATTTACTCCTCCAGCATCTGGGGGAGGGTTTTGCTTTTTTTTTTTTTTTTTTTTAAGATGACATACGGTAAACGTCAGCAACTTCACAGGAATAGTTAAAATTTACCAAGATAATTTAACAATATGGCTACACCATGTAAGAAAGGGATCTTTGGGATTTATTTTTACTTGGATCTCTAAAGGAATCCTGGACAGAGCCTGTGTCTTAGTAGGCTAAGTAAATTATTTCACAAACTCTTCACTCATTCACTTTTACACAGAATAAACTGAAATTTCTGCCACAACGGCAAAGGCGGCAACTCAGCACCTTAGACTGATACCTTTCACATAGTTCAATTAATAAGAATATGCTTTCTCTTCGTGTTTCTACACTTTGCTATTGGCTACAAAAAGAATAACCACCCATCAGTTTATTTTCACGTTAACAAAACTCTTCTCTCAAGTATCTATTTTCAGCTAGCAATACCAAGATATCGGAGTATCAAATGTAGTATTACATTCTTATCTATATCTAAAAGAGTAATCTCATTTTTTTCTCCAGGCACATTCCTTCCTTGTCAAAAAAAGACAGCAGTATTTCACACAGAAATGTGTACTTTGTGACACTGAGTCAGCAAGGCATATTCTGCCCATAAAACATCTCGTGCACAAATATGTTTTTATGATGTTAACAAAGCAGCTAGGGAAATCCATTCGCCCGTGATATTCTCAAGCATCCTTTAAGTGATCCTCTACCTGAAGCGCAGGAAGATACTTAGGAAGCTCTTGTTTCAATTCAATGGGGGAGGAAGCTGGTGAGTCAGGAATATAGTCTCCTTCTGTCATTGCATTGGAATGAGGGGTACCCTCCCCTACTTCCTCCTCTTCTACTTCGCTTCCTGCTGAATCTCGGTCAAACCTTGACTCTGTAACTTTAAAAGTCAGAATCAGTTGTGGAAAGAGGGAGCCGTCTGGAACAATTAAGTTCAGCTTTAGACAAGTAAGGGTAGTGAAACACTGATCACCACACACAAGATCTTATGCAATATAAGTTACTGTAACAGAAAAGATCAATGAGAAGCCTAATTTCTCCTCTTTGCAGAGATGATGCTTTCAAGAACTTTCCAGTCATGTGTGTACAATTTCCAATGTTAAATACAGCATGTCATAAAAATAAATCTTTACACTAACAGAATGAAAGAGAAAACTGACCTAGTCTATCTCATTCTGATTGCAAAGCTTTTTTGATGAGAGGACAGGACAAGAGACCCAAATGAAAAAGAAGGAAACATTAGCTCAGTAGAGTAGGATCTGATTTTCTCTAAACATAGACCCTGCGACAGATTTCAAGGAATTTCTGATTCTGACATGAGAATGGCCAAATATACGATGCTTTAGAATGACAGCAGAACTGTAACAAGAAATACATTTAAAATATTTCTAAATATTTGTAGAAATAGATTTTTTGGCTGCAAAAGTTCAGCAAAACACTTCTTTAAATATTCAGTATTTGCATTGTACCAACTGGGATGTGGTTTCCATTTTCCCGTTCTTCCTCTTCACTCATCTCTTCTTCGCTCACCTCTTCTGCAAAACAGAATCAAGTTCAACTGAATAAAAACACTTCTGTAGTTCCTTGTAAGGCAGATCACTACTGACATGCTTTGCCAACTTGCCAGGCCTTCTTTGCTATCTAATTAGTGACCTCATACTCCTGTTTCACTTGGAAAGCAAATGCTTCCCCTAACACAACAGAACTGCAACCTTTCAGCTTCCAACAGGGAATAATACAATTCTTATCAATTATCTGGGAATTTGGGGATGGGGGCAGGTGAATAAATTAAATCAGGAAACTTATGAATATTTGCTTATTAACTGTAATTGATTTTAAAGAAAAATACCCAGCCATCAGAGCATGCTTTTAATTACAAGAATGGCTGCAAGTAGATTTACTAAACCCTTTTTTATGTTCATTTACTTGTATTGGCATGAAAAAAAATCTGAAATTTGCAACTGAAAAGAAGTCAAAGCGACAGAGACAAGTGTATTTCACCACCCCCCAAATAAGTGCAGAATTGTTCTCTACAGAACACATTTGTTGTGTTACAAAATTACTTAACCTGTTAGCCTTACACCGTTTAGAAAACTGAAAGCCATTTTTGTCTTCCTAATCTGGCTTCTTAGACGAGTAATTAGTATTACCTCTATATAAAACGATATGAATATGACTTGTACTTGTTTTTTTTCTTTTTAGTTATCTTGACCTGTGAGGTCTCAGCCTATCCTAGACTAAGAGAAAAGGAAAGTGTTCAAACAAAACAATACAGAATGAGAAACAAAAAAAATCATAACACACCGTTCTAGAACCTGCTTTACGTTACTCACCAGCTGACTGCTCAGACACTTCCTCAGAATTGCTTCCCGTCTCCTCCTCCTCCTCCTCTTCCTCTCCCTCTTCCTCAGAACCTTCACTGCTAGACTCTTCTTCCTCTTCTTCTGAGCCTGATCCAGATTCTGTACAGGAATAATCAAACACATAACTAAGCAGGCACACGCTCTAACAACAGTGTTTCCTCAACAGACAACTGTACAATTGTCGTGGTTTAACCCCAGCCAGCAACTAAGCACCATGCAGCCGCTCACTCACTCCCCCCGCCCCGCCCAGTGGGATGGGGGAGAAAAATCGGGAAGAGAAGTAAAACTTATGGGTTGAGATAAGAATGGTTTAATACAACAGAAAAGAAGAAACTAATAACGATAATGATAACACTAATAAAATGACAGCAGTAATAATAAAAGGATTGGAATATACAAATGATGCACAGTGCAATTGCTCACCACCCGCTGACTGATGCCCAGTTAATCCTGCCCCCACTCCCCCCAGTTTATACACTAGACATGACATCCCATGGTATGGAATACCCCGTTGGCCACTTTGGGTCAGCTGCCCTGTCTGTGTCCCATCCCAACTTCTCGTGCCCCTCCAGCTTTCTTGCTAGCTGGGCATGAGAAGCTGAAAAATCCTTGACTTTAGTCTAAACACTACTGAGCAACAACTGAAAACATCAGTGTTATCAACATTCTTCTCATACTGAACTCAAAACATAGCACTGTACCAGCTACTAGGAAGACAATTAATTCTATCCCAGTTGAAACCAGGACAACAATTAATTACATCTACTAAATTGCATTTAGTCACCTGATGAAGACTCTGCCGAGCTGGTTTTTCTCTCACTGTCGCTGATGTCTTGCAAGTCTGAAAGAGGATCTCTCTCTTCCGGTTTCTCTTCTTTTACTGTTGGAGACCATCCAAATTAAAAACAGGGTGCTGACTGAATATCACTTCTACTTATAAGACTCTGAATACCCAGATAACTGCTTTACTTTCTCTGGTCATTAAATTGGTGCTAAACATTCTGTATTGGAAATACAGAGCGCTAAAAAAAAAATTTCACACTCTGCTCAAAAGACAAACAACTTTTCTGAATTGCAGTGGTGCAGGATCAACAGCCAAAACTGTGGAATACTGACCTTTTGTTTTTTCAAACATGATATATGCCTAAAGCCCCTCTAAGTGTAATTAAAAAAAAGGTAAAAGTAACATGGTAACAAGTATCACCACAACACAGTCTCACTAATGGGTGTGCATACAGCGCTTACTGTCAGTTCCTACTATTCTAATGCAGTCCCTCTGGACCACCATGAAATAGCATGCGTGAATATCTGTTGATAGATTAGACAGCACCTTCACAGGACGTACTGCCTGCCTCCACCTGGCATTTCAGCTGATTATATTCTGCAATCAGCTTACTTGAAATAGTTACACTTATTTTTACCACTACACACATTAACGAGGCAGACACAGAGCTTTTCTTCTTTAAACAAAGACACTTTTATGACAATTGTGCAAGTTCTCTACTCACAGTTAGGACCTTCTAGGCATGGGAAGGACCATTTTCTGGCTTAGAAAACAAAATGCTGCCTTAAGCCTTCATTTTCTTCTACCAGATAACAATTACCAGTGATGCTTCAACTATATTGATCCATGTAAGGTAACTTTTTAAGGTAGCTTAGTTCCTAATAATAAATCCAACTGGAGCTAGTGTAAACAATCTCTTTTTAATCTGCAAGGGAATTAAACTACAAAATTTTAAAACCGCAGTCAGCTACTTCTTTCATCATTGAATGAAGTAACTCACTTTGAAACTTTTTAAATTACTTCTCCTACTACTAAAAAGGAAAGATTCATTCAATTTGTCACTTGCACAATCACGTGCAAAACCAGCATTGCTTTAGAAAAGTACCTATGTATATGTCCATGAGTATTCCAGAGTTATGCCACCATGGCTGAAGCGGACAATACTTTCAACAGAGTACCAGGGATATAAGTTTACTACTAAAAATTAAACGCTACCCAAGAACAGCTCCTCCTAGCCCCCAGGCAAAGATATTATAAAGTGGCAAATGCTACCTGGTTTCCTGCTCTCTCCTTGCTCAAGCTTGTCTCTTTGCTGTCGTAATGGGCTGCGACTCCAGGGTCTCATTTTTACTTTGTCTCCATATTCTTCCCTCACTGTTCTATGGTGTGCAGAAACTTGTGAAAACAAAACCGGAAGAAATTGTTACATCTCCCTGCCCTAATTAGAATACTTCTCTGTCTGCCACAACCACCTGCTTTGTATACTTCTCATTTTTCCTTACAAACTAAAGGGTAATGGGAAGGAGTGGAAGTGGAATCTAACTATATGTAGGAGAATAAAGGACTATGATTTACCTCATGCACAATAAAATATGGGTTTGTACTACTTAGAGAAAGATGCTGCCATACTTGGGAAACAGAAGCAAGATGCCCTATGTACTACACAATAAACAGCCTGAAACTAAGGCATTAATGCCAGAGAGAGAAGTGGACAGACCAGGAAGATACATGAAGGAATAAAACCAGCTAAGGTTTAGAAGGAGCTGACAGAACACTTAGAGCAACAAAAATAACTAAAATGAAACGCTAGATAGAGCAATATCAGCATAAATACCAAGCACAAAAAGGAGCTGTTCCATATGAGCTGAACTAGAAAGACTAGCAATAAATATGGCTGCTTCTGCTACTCTTGAACAACCTTTGTCACCTGATCACAAGAATGGGCTCTGACTTTTACCTCTCAAAGCTGGGACAAACAGAGATCCTTTAACCAAAATGATCTGAATTTAGATTGCAAGTATCTGATATGCTATGAGGGAAAGTGAGGGTTCATGTGTAGAATTTAATTTAAATTGCTCAGTTATCAGATCTTCCCCACTCAACTCTCACTACAGCCTTTTTCATGGTTGGAGTACTTACACGATCTCTCTCCCTCCCTTGGCAATCTATTTCCCAAAATCCTTAAAACACTTAATTTTAAGATTTCAATCTCTATTAATTGGATTAGACTCAGCCAAAGAGCTCAGAAGCGACTGGGATCATGATGGATACACATGCACGCACAGAGACAATGTCAATTACGTAAATCTTCTTTCTACAGGAAACCAGACTAACCGAAAGAGGCAAAGAAAGACTTACTGACTAATGAATATGCCGTGATGTTTAAGGCATATAACATTAGTTTATTTCCCCATGTAAAACTTGATAGATTTTTTAATTCCCTCCCACGTAGAAGGCCCCCCAGCTTTAATTTTCTTAAATTCTGGCACTGACCTAAGTAAAAAAATGCTTTCTACACCTCCATTCCACCATTGTGTCAGCAGACAGTAAGGCCAAACAACATTTATACACAGATAGTTACCTTCTCTTCTGGCTTCCCGTTCCTTACGTCTTTCTTCAGCTCGCCTTTCTCGTTCTTTTTGCTCCCTTTGTTCTTTTTGCTGCTCTCTAATTTTTCTCTCTCGTTCTCGCTCAAGTTGCTCCAGACGATCTCTAGAAAAGAATTATTTTTTGTTACGTTACAGTTCACTACAAATTCAGCTTATGAAGTAAAGGAAAACTGTTTTGCTATAACAAACTACAGGGCCATTCAATTTCATTAGCAACAATACCACTGACTGTATATTAGTGAAAAACATACATAGCTTTTCAGCCGATCCTTTAAAAACAGCATTTCAAAGACAAAGACCATAAGCTCTAAAACACATGAGCTTCTCCACCCTTATTAGGGTTTAAGCAGAAATTAAGCAAGTTCAGTTAATAAATCCCAATACTATGCAAATCTGGTTCACGCTTTTTTTTTTTCATTACAGTAAAACACTGGCAATGAATTCACCTAGAAACATCTGTTGTAACGAAGCCACTTACAAAAGGTAATTAAAGTCAACAACACATTCTCATTAGACGACACGTTCACAAGTACATGGCACTGGCATTAGACCTGACAAGGTTTTGCTCTAAATTTTTTTTGTCATTTCAAAACAATGAAAAGTCAGAGACAGATTTAGAGAAATAAGCTGTTCAACTCTTTGTTGGTTTGTCACAGGGGAAGGAGGGATGGATGTACCTCTCCCTCCTGGAATGCTCCCTTGCCATTTCTCTCCGTTTCTGTCTTTCCCATTCACGACGGGCTTTATCCTGCTCTTCTCTATGTCTCTTCCTACGCTCATGTTCCCGTTCTTTCTCTTTCACTCTGGCATGTTTCCCTAAACAAACAAAAATTAATTTTGGAGTGTTACTATTCAAAATACTTCATGCTCCTATTTTTAAAAAGCAAAACTAGAAAGGATGAAACTTATGGTAACCTATTTTCATGTTTTCTGTTATTAAGAAATTCTTAACAGAAAAATCCCTGATCTGAAAGGGTGTTGGAAAATTAGAAGAGTGTAAGATCTTGCACAAATACTTGCATTAAAAACAGAAAAGGGCTGTTAGTAACAGGAACACAACATGGATGTTTCTAGAAAGGATATTTTTTCCTTTACAGTCAGATACAAAGATCATAGCTCAGCCCACACAGTGAAGCCAGAAAGAAGCTTAACAGACTTCAAAGAGTGAAAGTAGACTCTATGTCCCTGTCCCAAAGTGATTACTGTCCTCTCCAACACATATATACCCCATCATTCCCATAAGGACATTAAACATAATCAGAGAAATAATACCAGTTTAAAATTCCTTTGTCTTATCCACCTGACATGTTTTCTTTAATTTGTAGTTATTGTTATTTACTCTCCATACAGTGCCTGTTTGGCTTCACCTCGAGAAGCTACCAGAAGTGTTATCCAAATGTATTAATAAACAACCTTCTGCTGAATGACTACGATGTCTACGTTTCTCTTTCCTCTTCTCATCTTTTCTATGATGGGTTTTTTCTTTCCGTGACATTTGTTGTGGTGGTTTTATAGCCAAGGAATCATCTTCTTCTCCTCTAAAACACAAGACAAATTAATAAACTGAGGAAGGTTACATGTACTGTCAAACAGACTGTGTGTTACTTCTGCTTTTCTCCATCTTGAAAAGAATGCATTTTTTCCTATTTTATTATTTTATATTAAAGTTCATTTCCATAATACCCCGAACCAAGCCATTAACGGTACATTACAGGAAATCATAGTCACGTAGATGAGAAGTTAAGCTATTATTATATGCGCACTTTTAATACACAAGCAAACTGAGGATGACTTAAGCACTGAAGAGAACTCAGCAGGCCTGCTTCAACTGCATCTTGAGCAAAATATTTTATGACTAGGTAGTGGCCAAAATTGGAACACAATACACTGTTAAGCCTTAATCAGTACTTCAGAAAGATACCCTGGCATGTTCTATGGACAGGAGATGGCATATCTGCATGCTAAAGAAGTTAAACTTTCCCCCTTCAGTTATTTTTAAACCCTCCTCTCAGTACTTCTAAAGGTTAATTTCAGTAACGCTTCCTAAAGCAACAAGGTTATTCTCTTATTCTTACCTGTCTTCCATCGAGTCTTCCCTCCTGTAAGGTGAATTTCTGATTGTTATTTCCATACGATGATCTCTCAACTCCCCCTCTTCAAGAGAATCCCGCTTTGAATCCCTATCATCTGACTGCGATAGAAACACAAGAAAGAGCAAAAAGAAAATGCAATTAATTTTTATGTCACAAAATGAAAAAATCTAAACAGTACTCAACTCTTCCATTCCTGGCTCAAAAGCCATCCTCAGCTAGTCACACCAGTAAAGTACACTAACTTATGAAGCAGAGATTTCATAGCTGTAAGCAGCCAAATGCAGTTTGATTGCAATTATAGCTGAACTTCTGCAAATTCAATGTAACTAAACAAAATTAAACAATGATTAAAGAGGATTGCATTAACTATTGGGGTTTTTCCCCAAAAGAATGTTATTTTGTACATAGTTGTACAAAACCAAATAGTAACATAAAAGTTATTCAAGAACAATTATTTAAACCCATTCTTCTAAAAACATCTTTGAAAGGCTGTTACTTGAGTTGCAACTTCCAGTTAACCACATCAATTTATTTACCTTTTCTAACCAATAACTATGAAACAAAGCACAGTATACAGCGTGAGGCCAATAAGATCTCAGCAAAGGATCGTATTTTTGTCAAACTTTGGAATTAGAGATCACACACAAAACGTGCATAAGAGCACAGAGGAATTCCGCTGACAAACAAGGCAAGAAGCCTTGTTCTCATCAGAAAATGAGGGTATAGGCACCGAAGCTCCGCAGGTTTCATTAGAAATGCTTGTAGACCAGAGGGTAGCTTACATTTTTCATACGTTTTATCTCTGCCTTCTCTTCTTGCTCCTTCCTTCGTTTTTTTTCCTGAAGAATTTCATCTAAAGTTTTCACTTTCCAAGAATCCTTTTCATCACCCATTTGAGTTAAAAAACAACACAACTCTGAAAAAGAACACGACGTTAATGAAACCTACACCAACTACACAGTCCAACACAGCTATGCCTATTTTACACCGACTCTTTATACGCAAACACTGAATATACCATCTTCAAGTATGGTCAAGCGGCACTTGACTTGCGCTGAACCGGGAAAGCCCGTTTTAAACCTAAAAGCGCACACGGTCTTTGCTACGAACGTGGGGACCTGTTGGAGTAAAAGGAAAACCCCGTCTATAAACAAGGCCCGGCGTTTCACCGCTGAAGAAAACGCAGAGGGGGCTGCACGCACCGGCCTGTCACGTACAGCTCCGGTACCGGCAGGGTGAGGAGAACACGCTGTTCTCAGTGGGGACGGTCACGGCCTCCTGCCCCGCCGCCGCTCGCTCCCACCGGCCGGACCCACCTCGGCCTCCGCCACGACCGCACCCCAGGACCGGAGCCTGCCCGGCACCAGCGGCCCCGGGGGCTCGGGATAAGGCCAGCCTCGCTGACCGCACCCCGCCGCCCGTTTTTTCTCCTCAGAAAACGGTTTCACCTGCGGCCTCACCTCCGCCCCAGCTGGCGCCTCGGCCCCGCTCCCGCTCAGCCCCGCGCCGCGGCCGAGACGGCACCGATGAGGCGCACGGACCGGCCGGGTCCCCCCACCCCACCCCGGCCTCGCTGAAGCGGCGGTGAAGGGGGAAGAAGATGGCGCCGCGCTCCCCCCCCCCGCCCCGGGGGCCGGGCCCACTCACCGCCGCCGCTACCGGAGACTGGGACGAGCAGCGCGAGACAAACGCGCCACTTCCGCCCGCCGCAGCAGGCTGATGACGCCAGCAGGCGGCCGGAAGGGGCTGAGGGAAGGGCGGGAGCTCACAGAGGCCGCTCCGTGAGGGGGCCTGACTGGAAAGCAACAACAACAACAAAAAAAATCGCTAACGGGATTGTCAAATCGTCGGTTTGATGCGACGCATCAGCCCGACCGCTGAGGAAAGTAGTTAATTCACGGCCAAGCGCTGACTATTCAACCAGAAATTAAAAACCGACCCACACCACACACAAACCTCAGCAGCAGAAAAGGAGAAACTTATCACCAGGCATGTCACTCTTTAGGACCATCCTCGTAATTCCATGTAAAAAACAAAGTTAAATTTTATTATTAGAATTCCAACGATCACTTAAACAAGCCACTTACATAATGGCAACAGAACTAACACACTACAAAGGAGAATTTACATTAATTCAGTGAGAAGGGCAATTCCTAAAAAGGAAAATTAGTTGAGACTACGCAGATAGAACTTAAAGCAGTTAAAGTGGTGAGGTTACTTAACCATGACTAGAGGTTACAATGCAATACATGATAAAGATCATGATGCCCGGCTACTTTTATTATCCATCCATCCTTTTAGCTGGGAAATGATGTCATTTTAGAAACATGCTAACTGCTGCAAGTAACACCCTCCATCTGCAAGTCTGTGTTCTTCAGCAAGGACTTGTGTTATTTCAGGAATTCACATTTTAAGGAAGACGTGCTGTTTCTATGAGAGCGTCCTTGACAAATGTAAAACAAATAACCCGCTTATCTCTAGCTCACAGAGCTCGTCTTGGTCAGTGCACAAGTATCAGGGGTGCGGCTGTGAGAAACGCCGGTGAAAGAAACCCTGGAGTGTTTCGAGAGAGGGCTTTCCAGAAGGAAGCGGGCAGTACCCCTGCCGTCATCCAAAGCAACAAAAAGGCAGACAGGTGGAGTATAATACAGTAAAGAATTCTTAACATGGAACAAAACGGTTCTTGTTTACCCAACAGGAACAACGACAAAGGAGGATTACCGGTATGACTGGAGAAAGAAAAGGTCTTACAAATAGACAGTAAAGAGGTTGGTTTGTTTAATCTAATAAAAGGCCAAGATGACTGCATAGAAAAGTACATAAGGTCAACACTGTGAAAACAAACCCCTAGTAAAACACGATTATCATGCTGCCACAGAACAGGTGGGGCTAAACCAGCCACTAATAAGCTTAGACATGTGTCAGAAACTACAAGTTCCAAAATCCTCCCAGCTGTTTGGTTCACAAAAAGTTTTCCAGCAATAGGAAAGGCAAAAGCCTGCTAGCTTTTAAAATGACGCTCAATCAGTTGATGAAGCAGTTCACGTGAGAACAGAGCTAGGCAACCAGAAAGCCATTCGTATTTCTGTCTTCCAACAAGAGTAGAAATATGATGCAAACCAGACTTTGTTTTCTGCCAAATACACTGAGATTTTTGAAAGCATAACGGGAAAAACAAAAAACAAAACCAAAAAACCACAGAGCTCCACCCCATAGTCCACAGCTTTTGTAAAAGTGATAGGAGTACAAAGAAACAAAAAACCACAGACATCACATATACAATGATGAAAAAAATTCACATTTCCCTCCCACTCAAATCTTCAGGGAATACGCCCCAGGTGACCAGTCATGTGTAGGAATGTAGCCTGAAGTAAGCGTAAGACAAAACAAGCACACGCTATTTAAATAGAAGACAGGCTTCTTCAGAGAGACTCCCCTGGAACACATTTTTGCTCTGCTCGCGGCAGGAATAGTTCACTAAAGCTAACGGAATACCTCACATGCAGAAACGTAAGCATGAGCTTAAATTTTGCAGGAACTCCACTGGTAACTTCCCATTAGAAATTATTTTTACCACAAAAGACCACTTTATCCATGCTTCTAATGCCATGCTACAATCTTTCAGAAGAGTGGCAATTATTAAAAAACAGTTCACTTTAATTGTTAATTTAATTTTGTTACCAAAAAGTCCATTTGAATGTTTTGGTAGCTACATGTGCTTTTTTGCACTAATACTTAAGAATTTTTTTAAAGGAAAGTTTACTTTTAATCTTTGATCTACCACAAAACAGATTTTTTTTTTTTTTTTTAAGAAAACTTAAGAGCAGTAGAAATAAAGATTAGCCTCAGTTTATGGTTAACATTCCTCCCTTTAGTGACCTCTCTTCCATCTGTCACAGATACCTCTGAGATTGTTTACATAATCAGAAACGATAGAAATACTTTGCACATAGGTCAGAATTATAACCCTGAGTTTCTAAAAGGTGGTATTTTGTTGCACTCTTAGAAATAATACCAAAAAAATCGATTTATTCCCTCATAACAGAAATACATAATAAAATGCAAGAAATTAAAATATTAAAATGGTTTCTTATAGAAATATAGAGATCCTGCTTCCTTTACCACCAAAAGTTTTCAGTGTTTTTTACCTCTAAGCAACTGCAAATATTTAATTCAACAGTCCATTTATACAGTGTATGTATATGTGTGTACACTTGCATTTCAATATTGTCAATACACAACCAGGATGCGATATTTCTATGTTAAATTTTAGTAGAAAAATCACTTTTCATTCCTAGCCTTATAGTCAGAAATAGCAGCTCATCACTGCTTTGGGGCATGGACTCATTTCCACAGTTTGCTTCAACTAAACATACACCAGAGTAAGTCATTTGTTTCATTCCTTCTTCCAGGTCTACAATGCACACAAATGATGGAGGATGTGGGCAGCGTAGAGCACCAAACAACTAGGAATTTCAGTTATGCACCAATTTCATTCCACTGCAAGCAAGCAGAATCCAGTGATGGGTCCATGTTTTCACATTATTTTGATGGGTAGGGAGAAAGAAATCATTTTCCCCCAAGACACTGAAGTTGTCTCTCTAATATAGAGGCTTGTGTGTTATTTGCAGTCAAGGAAAGACAATAAACCCCAAGTTTACCACATTACATGACACTAGGTCCTCTGTTTGGTATATCAGTTTCTCAGTAAATCAAAGCTTATTGGATTCTTCCCATTGTTTTCTCTCTGCTTCAAGTCCCAGGCTTGACCTGCCATGAACTCAAAGGACCAAATCAGCATCAACAGTTGAAGAAATAACCACTTTCAGGAAGAGTTCCTTTGAGCTACACTAGGTTGGAAGAATAAATGGCCGTATTAATCATATGGTTCCAGATCCTTGGAAATGAGTGGCTCAGTATCTTCAGTTGTACTTTGTGCGGATTGCGGGGCTGCAACTGCCAGGCTGTGTATAGCCTCTTGCTGATGCTGCTTTGCCTTGTTATATAGTAGAACTCCAATTGTCACTAGAACAGTCCCAATGGCCGAGAGGCTTGTGATTTTGTTACCAAACACAATAATACTTAGCCAGATTGACAGCGCATGCTTCACAGTACTAGCAACACTGGAAAGGAATATAAAAATTAAAGCCAAAGAAAGCTTTCTCATATCCCACACACAACTACGCTTTAATGCAGTGGGACCTCTCTGTTTTGCTTGCTTTTTTAAACTCTACTTTTCCTCATGAAGCTAATACCAATACCAAAATGCTTGTATATCAGCACTCGTATCTTTACACTCATCTTAATTTTAGAGCTAGTACGAGTAATTCATCGCAGGTTTTTGTTTTCATTGCTTTTAAGTATGCAGTACAGCGATAGCAATTCATTTCTAGCTAACACAGACATCCAGAAAATTCTAACAGAACACTAGCAGCATAACTACCGTTTGCAAGTATGCTGCTACTATTCAGGTAATATAGCACTACAACTTGAAAAGAATCAATAACTAAATCATACCAATAACATTATAGGAATTAAGAAATTTTGTATACATGTAAAGGTGAATATATATGCTTTTACATCCTCTTAAGTAGAGAAGACTAACAACTTCAGAGTAAGCGTGTGTGTAACAGTAAATTGTCACAAGACTGTAGCAGGGGCACCTGAAAGTATAAGACAGCAGAAGCCTTCGGAGTTCAGGACCAGGATTACCCCACAGGCCCTAGGGCTATTCACACAAATGACCAATTATTGAATCAGAATTGTGCAACAGCCTAACAAAGCTGCCAATAACCAACAATGTAAGTGGAAGCTGCGTTTAGAGAACACATCAAATTCAACAAATACAACTTGACATGCTGGTGTCATGCTTCAGAAGAAAGGAATACAGAGCTGATTGCTCATATTCTGTACTGCACCACAATGTATATAAGTATTGCCCTATCACTGAAGCAAATGGCAGCTTAAACATTGGATCTAGAGGTTCAGTGAATCTGTTCAGTCTCATTAACTAGCTTTAAGGAACAGCTGTTAAACCTGAATACAACACACCTGCTAGCAAATGTGAGCACCTGTTCCATAAGCTCAACAGCATGGGTCAAATGCTGCTCTCCTCACACAGTGAGGGAGCAAACCACCAAGTTTTGGTGATACGGATGTGAAAAGTTTTCTTCTTAATTTGAAGCATTTATGCATTTACATTATTTATTTCTTTGCACAACACCTTTACTGCCTAGTTCTTAAGCAAAAATACTAGGTAAGAAAAGAAAAATAAAACAAGTGTTCTTGACATGAAAATACAGTTTTACCTGAAAGTCACAGGAGAAATTTTTCCCATCAAGGCATAGGCTGTAACACTTTGTAGGTGGAACAAGACTCCATCTATTAAGAGAAGTATGACAACATCTTGGTTGTAGCTGAAGCTCCTCCCACTTTTCCCAATCACAGGCACATCCTAAAGAACAAAAAAAGGAGGACTTTAAGAGTTTAGTTTATAAGCAAATCTAAAAGTGATTTTCCACCCAACTCGTTATTATTATAAGCAGGTAAGTTTTACATTTAAACTTCAGCAAAACAAAACCTAAAGCATACAGGATGTTTAGAATATATTAGAAAAACAGCTCTCATCTGACTGACCTTTCCAGTGTCAGTCTGCCTGTGAGATATTTTCTTTTTTGAACACTGATGCATAGCAATGAAATGTCAGAATATGAAGGATACATATTTAACCTGATACACTATACTTACTTCAGCTCAATTTTGCTTTCAGCGAGTTAATACTCCTGTACACCATGTGAATATTGGCAGAAAGTCAAGAAATATTTAAGATTTGGTTTTCAAGTCTTTATCTAAAACTTTAAATGCACTTAGACAAAATTATGATTTGATCTCAAAAATCCTGAAATAATCTCAGGCTTTCTGGGTCACTTGTCAACTCATGTCTATATTAGATTATTTCTTTGAAAAATTTATCTTTTTTACACCCTCCCTTCCGCCCCAATCTCTTGCACACATAAGATGAAACGCATTTCAGGGTGATTTTTAAAAAAATGGGAAGAATTAAAAGTAAAAATTAATCTTAATCTTAGTTGCACATTGTCCTCAGGTCAAAAAGAAAACATAAATCCATGTTAGTGAATTCAAATTACCATGAAAAATATCCATGCTGGAATAAGCATAACCACTGCAGCAGCACTTGTGTAGAACTGAAGCTCTGGGGCTCTACAAAGGAGAAAAAACAATGGTTAAAATTATTAAAAGCTTTCTCTTTCTTAGAGCTGAAGAAAGCTGCATCATTACTGTATTTACAGACACCAAAAAAGTAATAAAAGCCATCTACCAAGCTTTGGGGACAACAAATTCAGCAATCTCTTGCAAAGAAAGTGTTTTGCTTTTTGTGTTGGCTGAGATGGACCAAAGATAAGAGGCACATCTTCTGAAGACCAAAGCTAGCATTTTATCTTGTGGTAAAATACATACATATAGTTATAGGTATATTTTACCACGAGATTTTACTCCTGGCTCGTGTTTCATAGTTAAAATATTGAGCGAGTTCTTAAGTTCATTTCTGCATGCCTACCAACGTTAAGGTATGTTTTATGATTGCAGAATAAGGACTTATTTCTCTAAAAGATAACTCATTTTGTGTGTGCGGACAGTTTTAGCCGATTATGAGACTCTGACCTACCACAGTGGGATCTGAGCATAGAGGAGTTTTCTTTTCCTGATAAAATGATTTAAGTTAAAGCTGTCACAGTGTGAGGAAAAAAAAAATAAATCTTGGTGCAATATAATTATAAATACATGGTTTCTTTACACAGCCCAAATTCCATCTATAATCAAACCTGAAATATTTTTAATACTTACGAAAATCTGTATTTATCTCCACTGAGTAGTTTTTTGGAAAAGACATTTTGCAAACTGGAAAAAAAACCAACACCATTTATCTGTGTTTTAGTTAAGACAAATAAATCAATCCACAAGACAGACAGTTGTTTCCCTTAGATGGGTAAGTACGTTTTCTACACATTATGCAACTATAGAAAGGAGTTCGGTCTAACTCCTTTAGACTAACAGAGTTATACTATTTTTTAATCTCATTAATGCTAACAGATAAGATAGAGGAACTGTATCTTCTGTTAAAAATACAAGTTAAATACCAACATTTAAACATTGGTATAAAACAACCACAAGCAACAATTTTCTTCGATCTACCAATAAACAAAATTCCTTTATTCCACATACACAACTATCATTATGCCTTACCAGTCCATGATATTAGTAGATAAAGCTGCTGAGAAACCTAGAATGTTGAAACTGATTTCAGTAGCTGTACAGAGAGCTAGCCCACCCATAACAGGAATCAGAGAGAGATTAACCAGCAATCCTGCAAATGAAAAGAAAAATTTAAATCTTGAGTTTAATTACTGTACTTGCAATTACATGTCCCAGATACTATATTTTTTTTTAAAGTTCAAATTCCACCTTAACTTCTTTAGTTGAAAGCAAGAGCAACTTATTTGACTGGATTTTAAAGTACAGAGGTTCTAAAGTGAGATCTCAGACAATAGCAGGGTGTGCTTGAAAATGTGGATGTATACTCACTGATAAAACTATCTCCCTTGGAGAAAGAAAACGGACCGATGACTGTCTTCATTTCATCTTTTTCACCAAATGACAGAAGAAAATTATACTCTCCCTGTTTACTCTGTGATTGAATTACTCTTCTTCCTCTGGCTTATTTCAGCCTTTTCCCATTTTCCATCACAAAGCAATCTATACATGGATTCTGCATTACTCCTATGACTTATAGCTGGTAACTAGCAAAATCTCTTCAAGCAAGTAGCGTGCAATTGCAAGTGGAATCACAAGGAAATTATATTGTGGACTGGGAGAAATCATATTGTAAGCCAGTTGGTTGGTGGTGGGGTTTTTTTTAATCATAGAGTGAACAGAGTGATGAAATTCAAGAATTTTAAATTCTGAGAAGCAAGCTGTCCTTACAAGAAGGAACACACTGAACTTCAGTTATTTAAGGCTGCAGTAATATTTTCTTGACAGAAAAATAACTTCAGAGCAACCCTGCCCTTACACAGCTGCATTAAAATAAATCCTTTTTTACTTATGTATACACTCTACTTATAGTGTTCCAACAGAATAATTCTTCCAGCTGCATTTACTGTACTTCAGCGGAATTTCCTTGTCCATGGCCAACTAAGCAACAGTATTATTTAAAAAATAAAATAAAAAAAAAAAAAAAAAAAAAAAAAAAAAAAAAAATCACATTTCAATAGTCAAGTACTCACCAGTGTATTCCCCTAATATCATCCGAGACATGATAACAGTAAAAATAGGTGCAGAGCTTTTAACGGTTTCTGCAAATGAAACTGCCACATTTTTCAAGCTGACAAGACCCAAGACTACTGTTGCAAATCTGTAGTAGAACAACACATGAAATTAAGCAGAAAATAAAATAATGCTTAAAAAAGAACTGCATTATAATTTCTCCAGGCTTATAAATTTGAGCTGCAGTAACTAAGAATATAGACAGGCGTAGCTGGCAGTCAAATTATTGAATCATAGTAGCTTGACTGAACCGCAGTAACCGATCAGCTGCACACCTTTACTCCTCAGTACGTGCGAGGTGAAACGCGTCAGGTCTATTTCTTTCCACTTTGGCTTAAACATTATTATTTATTTAGCACAAATGAAGGCACCCTTGGGCAATTGTCCAATTTCTACAGATGTGCCATGGACTTTCAGAAAACATCAAAGTTCACTTTTTAATGCACTCTAACCAAACTTCAGATGACAGTGTTTTAAACTAAAGTTTTCAATAGGTTCAGCTGAAAAAGTTAGCAAAATTCTGCTGATAAACAGTAATTCACCAAGGAAATATTATAATTTGCAGTTATCCATCTTTAGCGTAAATTAGGTACACTACATATTTACCATACTTTAAACCATTAAATTAAACAACAGGGCGGCACAGTTATTACGATAAAGCTTCTCTGAATTAATCTGAAACCTATTATCCTTTATCAGTTTTGCAGCACAGCGGAAACAAAATCATATATTCTTATTCCCTCCAAGACCACAAACTGATACTATCCCAGCACACAGCAAATATTTACTTTTTTAAAAGATAAATGTTAATAGCCTGTATCACTTTTGAGGCACATTGCTGGAAAAGGTAAGGGAACAAAGCAACATCATAATAAAAACTAATACGCTAAACAAACACCAGCCTCAAAAGAGAACAGGAAGAGAGTAAATGGAAAGAGAAGTGTGTTCTGAAAGAAGCTAAATGTGATGGGAAGCCAAAAAACTGACAGCTGGAAAAAGGAACGTAGCATTTCGCAACAGGAACTAAAAATAAAGTTATCCTGTGATTTTTGGGGGGCAAAAGGTGAATACTCCAAACACCTTCCAATCAAGAATGAAAAGGAAGAGAGCCATGAAAATACAGTTTCCGTTCAGAAGAATGCAACAAAGCAACCAGACGGATCTCTAGGAAATATTTAACTATTTACCTCATTAATCCAACAAACAGCATTATCATGATGAAATTGGGTGGATAAGAGATGCGTGTTTTGTGTTGATACAAGCAGCATGGAACAAACATTTTTATGCAGCCAATGAAGGTGGTTGAAAGCATTTGAACAGCACCTAAAGAAAGATGAGAGGAAAAAATAAAATAAAATCAGAAGATGATGGGAACATGACGAATCAAGCAATAAGAAATTTTCTTAGACAAACTTATGTGTAGTACTATTAACTGTTAAGAAGCATGGCAACTGCTGTCTTGATTTTATAAATTCTCAGAGAAGCCCTTTCCTTCTACCAGCAAGGTAACAGAATAAAACAAAGGTGGCATACACCTTAAAAATCTGGTTCACAGATTAAGTGCCCTTTGTTACCCCCTTAAAAAAAAAAAAGAAATAAGCAGCCCATTGGATAATAGAGATCACACAAAGGCAACTTTTGCACATGTGCAGACAATCAAAATCTTAACAGCACTAGAGACTATCAACAACTGACTGAAGATTTTGGGTTTTTTAAAAAAACAAAAACAAAAAAAACCCACACTACCCTCCAACACAGAAAACAAAAAATAACATTTTTATTTCCACCTCTTAGTTCTCAAACACCATCTTACAGCTCCTCTATGAGCAAAGTTTCATACCATCTTTCAGCGAGTGGAGGAAAAGACAGTCAGAAGCCCCTTTACAGGCCAGGATCACAATTCAACTTCCCAGCCCCAAGATCCACCCCCACACCTCCTAACTAGGCCTCTCTCACTTCAGTCAAACAATTTTGTCCCTCAGCTTTATATAGGAGGATCTGGTATTGTCAAATATCTTACTGGAATTAAAGCGTAAAAGAAAGGTAGGGTTACCTAGCATGCTGGGCTCTCCTTCCAGTAATGAAAGAATATATTTGTTAAGAAAAAGAGTGCAAAAGCTGAAGAAAAACCACAAAGTGAGGTAGATGAGAGCATGAGAATTCCAGATGCCCAAGTCCGACTCAATGACCGTAGTCTCCGTGATAGTTATTTTCAGAACATTCTCCTCTGGTACACTATCACTCCTAGCAATTACGAATTTTTCACTCCTGTTAGCAAAGAGCGAACCGAAATGAAATAGTGATTTTCCCTTTGGCTTTTCTTCAAGCGGGGGAGGATTAGGTTCCTCCGGTGTCTGAGCACTTGTCATAGTCGACATGCTGGCATTAAGAAATTAGTATTTGTCCTTAATACAAACCAACATTGACTTAGCACAGAACAGCACGCTGACAAAACAAAAATATGTCATTAGTCTTTCATCTCCTGTGGCCTGAAAAAGTATGCTTGGTCCTCGGAATAACATCTTGCAGAAAAATAAACTTCACATGCTTCTTCATGTGGTCTATTCCATTTTTTCTGCCTAAGAATGAAAAAAAAGAGAAAGAAGGAAAAAAGTATGTAGCTCTGAACGTAATGACATTTTAAATCCCTAACGCATCAAAGATACCACATTTCACCTGCAGTTTATCAAAGATAAAAAGACTTCCGTAGCTTGTCTTTCAGACTGGATTTTGTACTCCTAATATCATGATACCAAGATCAAGCACTAAGGGGGATTTTTTTATTCTAAAATAGCACGCACACACACAAAAGACTTCATGTGTTTTTAAGTTCTTTCTCCTCTAAAGCATGTCAACACAGCCTTCTCAATTATAATTAACTCCTCTTCAAGATTCTACAGTTTCTTTGATCTCAGTCTAAGGTCTTCTTATAACCATTCAACAGAAAAATCTTCACAACTGAGAAAATCTGGGCAGGAGCCCATACCCTTAGTACTAATTAACCTGTTATCAACTCAAGTCAAATTGAGCAATCCATAATCAAGGACTGTAACTTCCAGTAATCATGAACACAGTTATCCTGGTAGGTATGAGACCTAGGTGAACAGAGTAGGAAAATACGCCCAAGAGCTTTCCAAACAAACTTGTTCTCTATTCAATTACTTGTAAATAATGCAGCATTACTTATTTTGCCATGCAGTACTATTATAGCTTGCAATTCAGTATTAGTGCTGGCAATAATTCTTAAAGCCTTTTTAAAAGATCTGACTGAAAAATGCATTAAATCATTTGCAACTAGAGCTTCCTCCTTTTACAAATCACATGAAATGTGGCAAGTTAGAGTAGAAGAGTACAGAGGGCAACAAAAACACACCATGACCTTTATTCTTCTCAAGTCACGTAATGTTAGTTAGTTAGTCAAAACACTAACAGATTCAAAGTCTGTATTAGGAAGGAAAGAAATTGCACCTGAGCAGCTTATCTGCAACATTAAAACACGTATGAGATTTATCACTTTCTATTTTGCAGTCTGTATTTTATAAGCAAAAGAACATAGGATGAATCGGGTAAGAATGAAATGACAGACATGACCTCTTTTGCTCCTCAACAAACAAATACTAGGGGAAATTACATTTGAAATACTTTTTTCCAGAAGCACATTTGCTGGATAGCCAAGACAGCAGACCTTATACAGTTAAAAAGTAATTCTTGTGTGGGAAGTTAATCACCGGACATCTTGGAAAAGCTGTCCAAAACAAGATCATAATACTACAGTGCATCAAACAATGGCAGCACGAGAAATAATCAATGGCAAGCAAAACCACAAGAGTTGTAACAAGAGCTACTGCACCTGCCCCGATTTTGTTAGCATGTGAACAGGCGAATAGGATACACTATTTTCTTCATACCTTTTTAATGTCCAATATGGCATCTCAAAATAAATCATATAGAGGTACGAAAGAGTTAACTATATCATGTCAGTCTCAATATCCTAAACAGCAGCTACTTTACACTGAAATTTTCCATTCCTCATGTTCTCTATTTCTGTTATTACAACTATGCACAGAGGCTTTCTATCCCTATCCCCTTCTCTCTTTCCATTTTACCAGGAAATCACGCTAGCAGCACACCGAGGTACAAGATCCTCTGACACACTCACGTTAAACCATATACTTGTCTTAACCCAGTTTAAGACAAAATTTTGAAGGAAGATACGCATTCTTTAAGAGAATTTGTTAAGAAAAATGGATTCTTGATGACTCCTCCTTTTTCAGGTCTTAAAAAAAAATACCCCTCTACATTCAAAATGGTGAGTTATCACAACTTTGTTAATACTTCTTCTGTTTATATTATTCAATTAAAAACAAAAGCAATTAAACACAAAACTCCTACCCTCAGCAGCACTGCAATATCATATTTGATATCACTGATTGCACACAGCAGGAAGCAGAACAGCAAATAAGAACAAAACTACTCCCCTAAATTACTGACCTGCTGTCTTAAATCAACTGGGAAGCCTAAAATGGGCTGAAAGAGTTCTCCATCTGGAACTAATTCAGTCTTCTTCCCTTAAGACCAACCAGCAGCTGATGTTTACCAATAGATGAAAACGTGGCAGTGGTTAGTAGACCGTTTCTCTTGGATTACACACAAACATTCAATCTTTCAGCTCAAAAGAACAAACAGCATGCAGTGCACTTTACACTCTTCCTTCTATCTGCTCCAACTTTTAACTACGTTAGCAATAAAAATGTTGTATTAAAGGTGGAAAAAATACACAGGATAGGCTTTGAGTATCAGACAAATTCTGACTTACAAGAAGTAGCTAATTACCAATTCAACAACTCGCCAATTTCTTAAGCTTTAAGACATCATATTCATAAGACTACCTGCATTCAAGCTCCTTTTCCCTTTCTACTCAGAGCAGTTCAAAATTTAATCAGAAATACATGCAATTCCAACTTAAAACAGAAGCAGAGAAAAACCTTTTCTCAGAAGACTTAAGAGTGAAGAAAATAAAGACATTATCTGCTTGTGCTTTTAAGCACCTAGTTTTAACAAAAAACTATTACTCTCCCCTCAGTTTTTAACAGAGCAGTCATACTTGGTTCGATTACTAAATTGCTTATGCTATTTTCTGTTGTGTGCAAGTGGCCTTCATGGGAATAAACATTGTTTTGCTGCCAGCCAGCCTGCATGAATATATAGAAATGACAGCTGTCTGTACAGTGCTTTTGTAGAAATGGTGTCACAGTTTTAACAACATTTTGAATTAGCACCAGCTCACAGCTTCTGAAATAAATAGCACCCCCTTTTCTCACTCCAACTACAACAAATATATTTGTGGACACGTGATAGATCAAACCAGGGGAACTACTCCCCCCTCCAATTTTAAGGCTGCAGGGAAAAAGGTCACTCTTAATCCAGACCAGGACTAGTACACATCATCTACTCTTAATCCACACACATCATCTACACTTAATTGACACCAGTACAGTTTAACCTCATCACTGTAAGAGCAGTATGTCTACAGGGATCATTTTCTACAGTCCCAGAAGAAAACAAACACCAAATTTTGCAAAAAAATAAAATGCAGAAGCAACACTAGTTAACAAGGACACGCACACCATGTTTTTGCATTAGTTGTTTCATATGAAATGTTTTCCAAAGAAACTATAGTATTCTACACTTAAGTCAAATGCATAAAAGAGAAAAAAAAAAAACCATGAAACTGACCTTATGTAAAGTTTTACAGCAGTAGTTTTCTAACACAATTTAAAAGGGAGCAAAATCAGTTTTCCTTCTCTGGTGAAGGGGAGGCCTATGTCACATCCCCCTTCCTCCAAAACTGCAAAGACGCAAGGGGTGAAGCAGCTGGTAAAAATACAGTTGCAAGGGCTGGTCAACTTTACAACAGGGCCCTGTCACACTCTCCACACCTGGCCTTCACTGAGGTGTTCTGCCATAGGGCTACAGATTAGATAAGTGCAACCAGCTGAGCTGTCTTCATCCAACCCTAACACCACCTAGTCATCTTCTTGAAAAGTAAGCATAAAGTGAGAAAATGAAAGAGTCTTTCAGAGCCATATTTGATAAAAAAAACAAAAGGCAAGAGATAAAACCAACTTGGGTATTAAATAGTTTCAGTGAGATTATCACTGACACACATCAAAATTCCTTTTAATAGTATTCACTTAAACTTTCTTTTCATGAGAAACTGCAGGTTTAACCCTAATTTTTTAAAAATTGTCAAAAATAAGAAAGCCAACAATATAGCCAGAGTTCAAGATAACCAGAGTCCATCTTTAAAACTGAAAGAATAAAATTATTTAAAGATAACACATACAGCAACAAGAGACAAAGCAGTCACCTGAAAGAGGACATATAGCATCTTTTAAAAATTACATGTATTCTACCAAGACATGGTTTATCGTGAAAATAAAGCATAGCATTTCCAGCACTACAGATTCTGTGTTTTTTAACTATCTATTGCAACCCTGGTTATGCACAGAGTCCTTCACGATTCTTTCACAGAGCACACTAAATATTTTTTACGATTGAAATATATCCATTGGCGAGCATCTGTTAGGTACTCTAACAAATTTAATACAAAATTCTTTTATGACGTAGCTCACCTCAAAACCAATACCTTATGGTCAGAAGCTCTAACTATTTCTTAAATCACCAAGCAGATTCTGACAATCAGCACTACATGTATGACACATGTTTCTCACTGCATTCATTTGCCTAAGACTAGAAGTGCTCTGGACTTTGGAATGACCACCATCTAACAGTGAAGATTAAAAGCCATTGCTACCCTTTTTCTGACTACTTGTTAGTGCCTATATATAAAGACAGATACTTTCGTTTGACAAAATCCACAAAGAACTCTATAAAGCCACCTTTACACCTCGCACAAAAATATAAAAGCTCAAGAAATGTTGCAAGTGTTAGAGAAACTAAGGTTAATCTGATTGTGAAAAAAAACAGAAGCTTGGTGTGCGTATTTCTTAATCTACTATTATGCAACACAGGTCACCCAAATGCTGCTTCCAACACAATGAATGCACGGAATTCAGCATCCCAAGTAATTATTAACACCGTTTCACTAAATGATAATGAGAGCTTCCAAGATGTTTGTAAGCACTGACCGTAAATACAATTGCAAAACTATTAACATCTCCCATACAGAGGGGAAGATGCTAACGGAGTGAAATAGCTTAGTACTTTCTTGCACTTCAGGTGCATTTCTCGTCACCCAGTCCTAAAACCTTCCCTCCTCGCATTCAGAACCAGCCACCACGCAGGCACACGTTTTTGGATGCAGCAGCAGCAGCATCTCGGAGCTGACGGAGCATCCCAAACACGGGAGGAGCGGCAGGAGCCCTGCCTTCCCCATCGAGACCGAGAGACCTGCGAGGGAGCGATGCTGTACCACGTCCTTTCCGAGCCGGCTCAAGGAGTTTTCAGAGAGCACCAGCGTCGCAGCAAGAGGTAGCACCGACCACCTCCCTCCTCAGAGCATGCCGCAGCTGAACCAGCACCTTTCAGACAACGGCCTTCGGATCTTCCTCTACATCAGGACCGCCGCAGCCCTACCGCTGCTTTCTCCCCTCCCGCCGACAGCACCCCGAGGCCGGTCTGCGCATCACGGCCAGCACCCGGGGCCGGGGGGGGGGGTTGCTTCCCGGCTTCCCACTGACAAAGCCGAGAGGCTCTCCCGCTCAAACCGGGCTTCGGTCCTCAAGGCACCGGCCACCTCCCACCCCCGGAGGGGAGCAGCCGACCGGGGCCGCCCCCGCTCTCACCTGCCCCGCCGCGCCGCCGCCGCCTCGGGCAGGGGAAGGCGGACCCAGCCGCGCACCGCCTCCGCCCGGAGGGGATGGAGGGAAGGGGTGGGTTGGATGGACAGAATGCCGTCCACGGGAACCAGCTCTGCTCCGGCAACGGACACCCCCGGGGGGGGATAAAGCTCCGGGAACGGAGCTGCCTCCGCGGAGAAGGGCGCGGGGCCTGCGCCCCTTTGTCACGGTTGCCGTTTGTTTCCCCGTCACCGCGGGGCGGGCAACGGGAGGCCATTTTACGAAAAGGAAGGGGACGTAAAAACCAACCAACCACAACAAAAACGCCACAAAAAAATTGGGGGAAAAAACAAAGGAAGAGGGGGTCGCAGCAGCCGATCACACCCTCCCCCCAGAGCCCCGCCAGGCCTTTCACGGGAGGCCGGTCCCTCGGGGGGAGGGAACCGTCGCAGCGCCTGACACGGTCCGAGGAGACCAGCGGTCGCTCGGCAACACCGGCGGGGCAAGGGGGAACCCCCCGAGGCTGAGGAGAAGGCGCAGGCCCCAGTGAGGAAGGGGGGGGGACGGGAGGGAGGGAACGAACGCCGCTTCCCGCCCGGGACGGGGAAGTGACGTCCCGTCCCCCTCAGCCTGCCCCGGAAGTGCGGGCGCTGCCCGGAACCCTCGCGCGACCGTTGTAGCCATGTAGGTACCGTTACCGAAGGGGGACGGTACCGGAGCGGCCATGGAGGAGGAGGAGGGCGGCGGCGACAGGTAACGGCGAGAAGGCCGCAGCGAGAGGGAGGGAGGGAGGGAAGGAGGCCAGGCGGAACCAAGCGTTGAGCGGGGGGGACGGCTCTCCTCGCTCCCCCGCCTCCTTACCAGGGTGGGGGGCGGGGGGGGGGGAGGGGCCTCGGCCGCCACCCCCCCCCCCCCCCGCACCCACCTCTGGTTGGTACGGCCCAGTGCGGCGGCGCGGGGCCTCGCTCCGGCCGGGAGCGGAGCGGGGGGAGGCCGGTGTCGGTGTGTCCGTCCGTCCCCCCGCTCCCCCTTCCCTTCTTTCTCTCCCCCTCCAGCGCCG